ATGTAATTAAGGGCTTCCATTTCCTGAGGCAAAAACGTGTTGAATCAGCTCAGGTAAGAAACATCTGCCACTTTTTTTCTTTCCTTTTTTCCTTATTTTTTTGCAATGCATTAAGTTTTTTTCGAAGCCGGAATAGTGTGCATATTTAGACTTCAGGTTCGGGTTCTATTACGAAGTGACACATCCCGTAGAGATGACTCAAAGTTAAAAACTGTCAGGCAATAGCTTGAACTTCCTGTGAACTTGAACTTAAAACAAAAAATAATTCCTCTTTTTCATTCTCACCGTGAAAGTTTCCATAGTAAACATAGAACGCCTAACGGTTAATTTCTCTCTGTTGCGGTTTAAAGGAAAACTATTCACGGTTAACTTTCTTTTCATCTAACGTTTAAGACTTGTCAGTTTTTATGCGTAACGGCTAATTTTTTAGCGATAACCGTTAAACTCATCCAGATCCTCTTTTATGTGGTACTGGTTATCATGCTGTATAAGGTGTTTCTAACTTAAAAGTTTCCGGATTATACCTTTAAAATGAAAGTAACCGAGCTTCAATTTAGCGTTGATCTGTTTGTTACGACATACATGGTAGTTCTACCATTTAATGGTAGACCCAGTTAAATGAAGTATACTAAGCTGTCTTTTCATTTGGTGCTGTTTATTGCGACGTAAAAGGTGGTTCTTCCATCAATTCTGTGGATGAAACTCATAAGTGCGAACGAGGTGCAATAATTTGATCACTCCTGACAAACTTTTCATGTTTGTTGTGTTTTGTTCAGTCGTTTGCCGGAGATTACACGATTAAAAATTTTACAATGACTAATGGCACTGCCGGAAACAGAGTATCAAAGGTGTAAGAGAAACTTTGGTGGATCTTTTATGAAACCTGAACGCTGCTGTGGTTTCGCAAAAACAAATACACTACAGACGCAGTTGCATTGTTCTATAATACAGACATTTGCGTGAGCAGAATCTTTTTTGGGGGGCTTTTTTGTTTTCAGCATCTCAGAATTACCACAACACGGGCAAAAAAACTAGAGCTTTAGAAATTTCGAAATTGTCGGTGTTTGAACGGAGTAGATAAACAGGAAAACGAACAGCTGTAATTATACTTGATTCTTGTAAAAATACTGTGGACGATTTTATTAAAATGGCCAAATCTTCCTGTATAAACGTGGAAATTAGAGAAGCCCAAGTTCTGTTTTTTATTTTAAAAAATGGATTTTGTCAGCACAACAGATTACATTCTACGTATGAATGGAAATGTCAACTCAACTTCGCCAGAAATTCGCAAGATAAAGCCGATTACAAATTATTCAGCAAAAACTGGATAACGTAGCTTTTGATCACGTTCTTGATAAATTCTTATCTACGTGGTTCAAAGCTTTTTTTTTTATTTTTACTAACGGTAAAAAGTCATCGTAGAGAAGTTTTGGAAATTTATTTTTTTCGTCGTTTGTTCTTTTTTTTTTTTTTACCGGAGTTAAGCTTTAGACAGATGAAATGCAAAATCATGGTTGGAGTTGCTCAAAGACTCGGATTAGCTTCTCTGATCGTCACATATTCATATCTTTTGCCACCAGGAAGATAACAGCCGAAAATAAGCAATCCCATGAAATAATTTGATATTTGCATGCCCTAATCGTGTGTCGTTGTTTGTGTTACAGGACGCCCACAAAGGTAGATACTCGGAAAGAAAGTCAGACTGATTTATATTGAGCGTGTCTGAAATCAACGAACCATTAATAAATGTTTTGCAAAGATCTCTCTATTCCTTTACCCTTGAGCTGAACCTGCCTTTTTGCATTTTGTACATTGAATGAAACCTCAGCGCAATGAATATATTCTGTGGTTTTTACAATTAAACGCACTGATAACATGCTTTTTAGCTTTCTTTGTTTTCGCCCATCATTGCCTCTGAGTGAGTCAAAGGCGATGTTTTGCGGCCAATTGAGTGTTGTCATCAAGGCATGTTATTTCCTTTCGTTATTGCTTCCAGCTGTTATTGTTGGTCGAATCGCTTCAAAATAGAAAGTGCTCAGACGCCTACCATACATCACATCGGATTAAATTGTCAAATGCTATGCGTTTATTCCACCTTCGAGGCAACACTTTTCATTCCATAAGAAACTGCGTGTTTGAAAAACTTTGGTGAAGAACTTGTCGACAAAAAGGGTAAGGTCAGATTGACATTTTCTATCCATTGTGAAAGCTCGTGAACTTCGAACTCTATGATGTCATTTTAAATCACTCGGTTACCGTGGGCTTTCCAGCATTAGGAAAAAATTCTAGCGTGTGACTATTCAAAGGAAAACTTCTAAAAAGTTGAATTTTATTTGTAACAAAATTTACCTAAACTTCTTCTTCTTTGCTATTCGCTCTGACGAAGGGCTAATGCTCGAAACGTCAACTATGAAACTCTTTACTGTAGCCAATTTAAGTTATCAACCTCAGTTGATAATACCAAATTACCCTGTTATACTCTCCCACCGACACAGCACCACAGTTTCTTTAGAAACTTACCCCCTTTATTCTGAACAGTTGGTCATTTTGTTTTGACTGTTATTATGTACAGGTTGATTCTGATTTCACAGTTTGTGAAAAAACTCATGGCTTAATGTGTAATTCTTTACGACAGCGATCAAGCAGCGCGTTCATGTCGCTCTTTTAGTAAGCTTAGCTGTACGTCGTGATTACAATCCATGTCATTTTAGCGAGTAATTTTTTTCCTCTTTTTTTTTTCATGTTCGTGTAAATTAGCTCTTAAGTGCCCTATTGATATAAAAGCTTTTGGAAGGCGTAATCTCAAAGCTACCTTACATTTGTTCAATTATTTTGTTCATCAATTCTCGTGGCCAGAGGTGTTAATTTCATTGTTACCTTGTACGAAAGCCCATAGAAAACTGAGGATAATTTTGAATAATTTCAGCTCGTGGCCTGTAACGAAAATATATTTTAAAATAAACCTGATTTCCTCCCCCCCATTCTTAAGGATCTGTAATATTCTACTTATCCATCCCCCCTTCCCTTCCCCCCCCCCCCATCAATTTTTCATAGTTCCCTCATAGTTTCCCCTATATACTCTGCTAGTTACATGTTTGTACCACGTGACACGGTTTTTGCTGACGTCATTAGCTGAATATAACTTGGTGGTTATTCGGAACAATTGTGACCAATGATAACTTAACGGAAATTCGTGTGAAAATTTACATGATCTGCGTCAAGCGCGGGAAGGCGCACATGGCTAAGTCGTGGTTGGTTATTTTCTAAGTTCCAAGATCGAACAGCAAAAAATAAAGCGCGAACGTTAGTCTGGCACTTTTCGATGGAGTGCCGTATAAAAAAAAAACCAAAATAATCGCAACTGCAAAGGAAAATACCGTTAAGAGTCAACGAAAACTTGAAATAAAAACAACCAAACTGCTTAAAGCGCGGGAAAACGCGGGCGACCAAGTCTTGATTGGTTTTAGTTTTGCCTCTGATTGGTTACATTAAGAGAGCAGCGCTTGTTTTCTTAACCATTCACAGAGCGAACTAAAACAAAAACAAAGCACCTAGATTACTAGCGACATTCAACTGCTCTCAGCGTTTCTGCGGCAACGGGACGTAACCTCTAAAAATGTTTCTTACTTACTAGTTGTGTGGTTTTTTAAGTGGGACAAAACGCGGTTTAGTTTTTTATTCTGTCTCAAGCTTTCTCAGCTTTCGTTGTGATTTGATTATATTAGTTATGATAAAAATTGTTTTTAGCAGGCTAAGACTTTGTCATCTCAAAAATAAGTATGAATGAATTCACCTGTTGTGTTTTTAGTCATTTTGGCAGCGAAGTTTCACTTCGAAATAAAAACTGGCTAGGAATAATGTCCGTTAATGAAAGCAAACTGTGATAACATGTACATCAGCCAGATTGTTAGATATAGAAAGCTAAAATATATTAAGATAAATACATTATTAATCACGGTCAACTGCTTCTTATAATCGACATCATGCAATCCATTTGCATTGGAAATATATTTCCGTTGGAAATCCATCTACTTTAGCGAATGTTGACAGCGATGGAAAGAGCATTTCTGGAATAATTCGAAAAAGCGAGAAATACTCTATCGAAATAACTGATTTTTCTGGGAGTTGTTATCCTCAAGGATACCAAACAGAATGACGAAAATAGAGATTTTAAAAATGTTAATATTTTTATTTGCATCTGTCAACCTCTCAAGGTGTTTCCGGGGCTTTTATGCATAATGTAATACATATATCTATGATTCTAAAGCACTTTCCTCAAACGTAATATTACAAAAATGACCAACTGAGTGCTAGGAAATGAGAAAAAGTTCAAATTTGAGACCTTTGATATTCTCATAAGGCCAAAATTTTGTTGCAAAAACTTAAACTTTATGTCAATCAATAACTGGCAGAGAGACAAATTACTGTATTCGACCTGTCGCGCCTTTGACAGTGCGGTAACACTTTTTAAATGCCGTGAATAACTGGCCCAAATTAGATTTGCTTAAAAAAAGACTTTTTGGATGCTGGGAACGCCGCTAACAGCGCGCTAATGCGTTTTATTTCTTGCCGAGAATTTCTGTGGAAATCTTACTAAACTGATTACTTAGAATAGTTCTTTTTAAGAGATCTGCTGATCCTTTCCGTCAATAATCAAGTGAACATGATTTCAAGTAGCTGACAATTTACGAATGACGACATCTTAAGACGAAAATTCCAAGGGTTCCCTCACGGTTTTTTCTTGAAGGAAAAAAAAATTCCTTTCATCGCGTCATGTTCGACCGCTGCGGCAGGAACAACACCAATGCTATCGGTAAACAAAATAGGCAACAACTCGCAAATATCGCAATATATGTTAATCTGATAATCAGATTTGTATTAATCTCTTTTACAGGGAAAGCTAACCGCAGCTAGTCATGTTTTGATAGAGAATTAAAGAGCAATTTTTAGATCAGAAAGATCATAATTTAACACTAGTCTTTTTGAACGCTTTTTTTCAGGTGAGGGAAGCTGACAAACCTACGAGGAAGGAGACATGGCAAACTACACAAATTCTTCGAATGCAACTGACCCCTTGCAGACTGCGACTCCAGTAGAATACGGGAATCGATATTTTATGATATTCCTGGTTACAGCCGAGATTATCATAGCAATTGTATCGTTGGTCAGCAACTTCCTCGTCGTGTACGCTTTTGTTGCCTACAAAAAACTTCGGACGAGCGTTACGAACTATTTTGTCATATCGCTGGCAATATCAGACATCTTAACCTCAGGGCTGGTCACTGCGTTCAAAGCGGACATGAACTCTAAACGTTACCTTTGGACACATGGTTTGTTCATGTGCCATCTCTATACAACAATGTTTTTACTAGCCTTACCAAGCTCTGTAATCAACTTGTGCGCCGTCACAGTGGATAGATACCTAGTCTTGAGGATGCCCCTACGTTACACGACCCTTATGCCGCCAAGAAGAGCCGTTGGCATCATCTGTTTTCTGTGGATTTACGCTATAGTGTGGTCTTGCCTGCCTATTTTGGGCTGGAATGTTACGAACGGAGCATCTGTGTTGCAAAACGGGTATTGTTACCATTCGTCCACAAACTTATACAATAATTTAATGAATGTTTTAAACTTCTTATTTCCCATGGTTTTCATGGCTATCTTCTGGGTGTTAATCTATTCAATAGTTCGCAAGCATCGCAAGAGAGTTCTGAAAATAGAGAGAAGCCTTTCGCGTAACACTAACGACTCCTCGAATTCGAGCAACAACACAAACGGAGAAGTCCATGCAATGACTCAGCTTACGGCGCGAAATGAAAAGACGGAGGAAAAACGTTTGCGGCGTAACGTTCGCGGATCTCGCTTCATTGGCTTTATCGTTGTACTGTTCTATTTCTGCTGGCTTCCGTACGTCAGCTTAAGTGTTATAGGCAACATCTGTGTATCATGCATGGCGCGCGTTCCTCCTATTCTCTACGAAGTATTCCTAGCTCTTGGTTTCCTCAACTCAGCCCTTAATCCATTTCTGTACCCGTTCCATGACAAACACTTTAAAGCGGCGTTCAAAGACATGTGGAAAAAACTGAGAAGCAAGGCCATTTCTACGTTACTACAATCACATGGCAAAGGTGCAGTTTTTATCTAGAGCATCGAGGGAATTTTCTATGGATCAACACCAAACGGTTGTTACGAACTCTGAAAAAAATGGGCTCGGCTGGGCGAGCATAGGCGATACGTGGTAAGACGCAAATTATAGAAACTGTTACGGAATGGTTGAACATGTGATTAAATAAATTATGTACTTGTGTCTAGCTGAGTAATCAGTTAGAAAAAAAAGAACTTGATTGTCGGAGCTGCGAGGGGAATGGGTCCTATTCTCTATTTCTGTACCCCCGCAAGTTGTCTTGTGCGCATTCAAAATTACACAAGCCTGTTATTCATCTATCGGTGATCATTACACTAAAAATACCCAACAGTTTTAGGTGAATTTATCATATATGCGTAAACTTATGGTCTGTTCAACGTTCATTGAGAAATTATGCATCAGGTTTTTAGAGGGCTTTTACAATCACAGTACTGTGGAATTGATTGCAGAAAGAAATTGTCCGTTTCGTGGGGTTTTATGGTATTATTAAACACTGATGAAATGCTATTTGGCACATGTTAATCCGTCTGTCGGAAATTATTCATATTTGTGCCCATTCTAGAATAAGTTTTCCCGATATCTGATACGTGGTGATTAGAGATTTCCTTTGAAATTTCATTCGAGATCCTGATATGTCCAATACGGATTATTTTGCAGTAGCATTACACAGGAGGTAAATCCAATTTAGTGAAACTTTGATCCCTGAAATATAAGATCGCGTTTTTCAATTGAGTAAGAAAACCATCGTCTACGTATTAATTAGTCTGATCCATCAAAGCTCTCCCTGATTGGTATCAATAAAATATGACAATGAGATAATTCACCATGATCATGTATATTGTTATATGTGTGTGAAAAATCCGCCCATGGCGGTTAAATAGAGTGACAAGAGTGTATATTATACATGTATATTGATGTATTTAAATAAATATCTTATCAGAGCGTACAGTTCTCGGTGAATCAGTTCATGTTTGTACGCATTGCAGACCATACGTTCTTAGCCGTCGATTCGGGAAGAGGATGGTATTCATAAAAGAGTGCATTGCTATCTATCACTGCCTTCCCACAATGCGTTACCGGCAGTACCTTGTAACGCTGGCCCCGGTGTCGTGTTCAAGGAAAAATCACCTCCCCCTTCCTAACCCCCGCTTATAAGCCTCAAGTTACTCACCTATTCATTTCTAAAAGAACTTCGATTCCAGTTTCCAATGGGGGCATATACATAAATCGACCGTGACTACCCCCCCTCCCCAGGGGTGCGCTTGTAAAGTAGTGCCGCCCTTCTGTACACGCTCACACGCAAACTACTTACACGCACACATACGTGTGTGTGCGTGGTTACGCTCGTTTAATCCATTCGGAAAAGTCCGCGACCGCCAATTAAAGCCATGTGGTTAAAAAAAAAAAAAGAGGAGAAAATTTAATACATATCTTTTTATTTTCAAAATGTGACTCCTGACCAAACTTACACTAAGAAAGGTGATTTCTCATACCTCTCCTCTCCCATTCGTACCCTATCCTCCCCCGTCCCCCTCCCGCATGGTATATTGAGAGGCAAGTGAAATGTGTGATTTGAAATGCAAATATAAGAACTCTCATTTAGTATTCATTTTCCTTCAGTCAACTTTACACGTGGAGCTTAGAATTTCACTTGGTTGTGTAGTTTAAAACTCCCTGCCTTAAATCACAGTTTTTGGTCAGAGACGTTGTCCTCCATTTACTAAACATTCGTAATAACTGAGAGATGAAGCTGAAGCGCTGAATGGTTTCAAATGTCGGTTTTTGGTGCAACGCGGACCTCTCAAATGGTTTGGAGCCGTCATCGTTAAGCCAACGAAGTCGTGTCGTGAATTGAGAACAGTTTTGTCTTCTTTGAGTTTATGTAAGTCATCAACTTCAATCTCCAGCATCTTTATTTTAGTTATCAATAATTTTCTGCACCCTGTGAAAGCCACCGCTAGTTTAAGGAAAACTATGAGGACTGAATTACATTAATTACATTAAGCGGAACTTTCAAATCTTGGTACCGGAATGAATTATACAACGAAGCACTAAACGACACAAGTTTACGTTCTCATCAATAATTCTCCGTGTAGAAGACACGGTGCGTTTTGTGTACGGACTAGGATTAACCCATTCACTCCCAAGATCTCATTAGTTCTTCTCCTTACTGTCTGCCATAAATTCTTAAGATGTTAGTTCGGAGAATTAGTTATTGGAACAACTAATAATCCCCTAATTTACTTTTTTATTTATTCTCATCACTTGTCTGCTTGATACTGTATTGATATTGTAAGGATAAATTCTGTCTTGGTCACTCATGGGAGTTAGAATGTTAAGATACGTCTCACTCGCTAAACCCTTTGTATTCCTCTTCACCATTCCCTCCCCCCCCCGAGGGACGCAAGGTGGCAAGCCAGTTAGAAATTTAGAGACATTAGAAAGGTTTGATTGTAAATTGTCCCACCAACTGGAGCTACTCTGATTCATCTTCATGCATGTCCAGACAGACCAACACTTTACACTAGAATATCCGTATACATATCCTCCATACTGTTCTCTATACATTTCCTAAGGTGCTGACAACAGAATTTGCTTAACAATCAAGAGCCTCTTTAGCTGTTGATCATTTCCTTTTCTCGTGGCTTTACTGTATGATTCAGGGGTAATATTGTGAGAAGAGATCGGACACTAGTCACTCTCAGCTGTCAAGGGGTTAAAATGTCACATGGAAGAATTTTACTGAAAGCGGAAATAATATATCAACCTCCGTCAATTTAATGCGAGAAACCTCCTCCCCCCTCAATGAAACTTTGTTCTTGCGCCGGTAGTAAACCCAATTTTCTCATGATCACTTTTTTACCACGTATCATGATCTGCGCGTGAGCTAATGGTTTGTGTGTCCTTTATCCATCAATCTTACATCCCAAAGGGAAGAACGACTATGGATCAGGAACAAGATCAACGTCATAAGGACAAATTCTGTCAATACAGGTCAGTTAATGATTGAACATTTTAAACCATGTCATTATTTTGGCAAAGGTGGGGAAGGGATCAGAAGATTTTGGTCGTGTCACGAAAACATCTTTTTTAACCTCCTGTAAGGTTCTAAAATATACCTATGACCCCCCCCCCCCCCCCAACACCACCACCACCTCTCTTGACAGTTAATTGGCAATAAAGTTTCCATATTCCCCCTTTTACGCTTTGTTGGCTACGACTGATTCCCCCCCCCCCGTTCCCCCCTGAGAATCAAAAGATCCCCCCAAATTCCTTCAAGCCCCACCCCCTCCCCCGGTGATAAATAAAGATTATTCCCCTGAATGATATGTCTTGGCCGTTGTCGACCAGCGAGCGTCAATCTATGAATGCTCCCGAATTTTTTGTACACAAGTGCAACACACCTCCATCTACCAAAGCTTCCTGAGGTGGAAGATTCTTCTTAGTCAGAACGAAAGATTTAGATTTTAAGAAGATTTAGACCCTAAATGGAATTCGCTGTACGAGTTTTAGTGTAAAATGATGGTGATGATGATGTTAGAAAAAAAAACAAACAAACAAAAACAACGCGTAATCTTGGTTAACAGAATCCTACTTTAAACGACCCGAGTAAGAACATGGGTGGCTGGTGATCGATCACTGAACCCTTTAACCCTTGAACTCCCAAGATCTGATTGTTAATTCTCTCCCATAGCTGCTATACATTTCCTCGTAAATTGGTCACGAGAATTTAGTGTTCCATCAGGAGAATATCTTGTAACTGATAAGTTTGAGTAATCTCACTACTTGTTTTCTGGATAATGTCTGGATATTATAGGGAGAAGTTACATGTTAATCACTTCTGGGAGTTGAAGGGTCAATGGCAATTTACATTTGGGTATCGAAACTAATCCGGGATTGATTTGTTTTTGGTTTACTTCGCTCCGTGATTGGTTGACTGTGATTCAAAACTCGCGCCGCTTTCTCGACCAATCGCGGCTTCGTCACTAGCGTTTTCCCGCGCTTTAGGCAGTTTCGCTGTTTTTACTTTAAGTTGTTCATTGGCTCTCAAAGGTATTTGGTACAGGCCGTTGTGATTACTTTGGGTTTGGTTCTACGACATCTTGTATTTGGCTTTGTTTTGCATCGAGTAGGTGATGATTTTTCAAAACCCTTTCGCGGAAGCTATAAAACATATATCAAAAAACCGTATGAAGAAAAACTTCAAAATTTGTCTCTGTGGAAACATAGAAAGTGAATTAATTTGTCCAAATGTCGAACATTTTACGAAAATAACTTGATAGCCTTCTGTAAAATTAAACTTTTTTTTAATATTTGATGGCTACTGACGACAAAAACAAAATACACGATTTTATAGCTTTTCATGTTGTCTCTAAATCTTATTCAAAGACTTTTTTGCATTTGAAAAAATGGGTACTTCCAAAAAATCCAGAAAAAAAATGTTCGTTACTTGTCTAAAAGGTCGAAATAAGGGCAGTCTCGCTTCTCTTGAAGTTGCCTCTCGTGGATCTTAATTTAGTAGATGCAACATGACTTTTAAACTTAAACGTATCTGGACAACACGAATCGTGAATTTGTCACAAAATTCTTACGTGATAAAGATGTAAAAATTACGAGCCACCGTGATATATTACCTTAACTTTCTCAGATGAAACAAAAATTCGTATTTTATGAGCATACTGAAAGAGCTTCGTTACGTAATCAGGCTTTTAGGAGATATCATTCATCCAAAGGTGAAACTGATTTGCAAGGGGGGGGAGAGGGGAGATTATAGTTATAAAATTGTTGTTACTAAATAGAAAGAGTAAACCTTTAGATTTAAAGAAGAATAATACAGGGCGTGCAAGATTTCCAAATAGTCAAATAGCAGGCACGCTCTGTCAGCCTCACTTTGGGGGGAAAATGCACTGAATTTGATAACGCGTCTTTGCAAAAAGAGCTCGGTATCAAAAAAAAGCTGTAACGATAGAGAAATTTTCTAGTTTTCAATCACGAAAGCTTTCAATTAAATCCAATAAATTCCGTTGAGAACTTGAAATCAAATCTTGTGCTTGTGATCGAACTCATCCCAGAGTCTCGCTGTCTCTAATGTCTTAGGTTTAAGGATGTGACTCCCTCAGTTGAGAGGACACTCGAAACCATTGCCATTGATCACTTCTTTTTCTTTCAGGTTTAAAGGATGAAGATACAAGACTAGATGCATTTCGTTGAACGAAATAAAGTTGATTCATTGTTCATGAGAAATAGTCACTGAGAAAAGGTCACTCGCACTTGGTGATGAAGAGCAACTTCTGCGTAACAAGAAATTTCGCACAATGGCTTTTAAAAGGGCCATCTCAATATCGAAAAGAAAAGTTTTATTGCAGGAAAGTTTTCTCAGAAAGACTAAGAAGTTAAGATGAAATAATCAGTAAAAAAAACCAAGTCTTTTGGCGGGAAATTTGTCGATGGAAAAAAGGTCTGCCCTTTTGAATAGTGTCTAGTATTGAACAAAAAAATATACTAAGTCTTTTGGCGGGAAAAATCTTGCATCATGCAAAAGATTTTCTCCAATCAAAATTCCAGTATATGGTTTGTTTTAATGCCAGACACCCGTTCAAATTCGCAGAATTTTTTTCCTTTCGGCAACCCTCCATACGCAAATAAAAGTAAAAGAGATAGCCTATATTTTGACTAGTTTCCAGGTCCTTTTGAAAGTGCGGATTTTTTTAAATTTGTTTATTCAATAAAGGGAATAAATAATACAAAAGTAGAAATAAAGTCTTTTATTTGTTTGCAAGTTTTTATTACCTATTACAATCTGTGTTTACAACAATATAAAAGTCGTAGTCAAATTAACAGTAATAGGTAAGTATCTAGGCGGGACGAAAAAAAATCCCCAAAGTTAACCAAGTCTCTCAACGACAACTAACCATCATCCAAATTTTCCTTAAAAAATTTATAATGGGAACAGAAACTCAAATCAAGGCAAAGGAAATTTATGAACCTCACAGCAAGTCTGATAAGTTCATCAACTATTAAGAAATAGAGAACATTTGAATTGAATGTTTGAGGAGAAACCGTTGCGACAAAAAGTTATAAATTCAAAGTATACGAAAAAAATAAAATTTTTAAATAAAGTAAGTTCAAAGAGTCAAACTCGTTTCTATTTTTTAGACATTTTTTCCGTGACGAAATAATTTCAAATTTTGTTGTAAACTTGCTTTTAAATGCAGAAAGTTTAGCCTTTTTCTTGTGACGAGTCAAGTATGTTGAAGTCAACAATAGACAGTTACCTTTGACGTAAAAAACCAATCTTAACTTGGCGAGTTCTCTTGACGCTGATAACAAAATCTGAATTTGTTTCACAGCGATTTGAGAAAAGAAACTAGCGGCACTAGGCTTCGAATTTACAATTGTTACCTTTAGAATTAATTTCCAACATTCTCCGGCTCTTGAACAACTTTAGTTCCCGTTGTGCTGTGTTCGCTGAATCTCGACTCTCCATGCTTATGATCAGCATCGTTAATGGAAATAAAAGATGGCACAATTAGCAAACAAACATGTTAACATACAAACGAAATAATTGCTAACGGAATTAAGATTGATAACTATGTCAATATGCTTGACAGGGGCTCCGTCCAAACTTTTAAATCCTTTGTCTATCATGCACTTCTATTTCCCTCGGAGTGGTGATCACGATTCATTCAAATTATTTATAGCCAACTTCATACTCTTGTTTTCCCAAATAACTTACACACGTTCGTTCAAATTTAGTCTTGATAACCCAATAATAAATCCCAACTCACGATTAGCATTTTCCATAACTTGGTCAAATTACGAAATGAAAACAGACGTAACAATTTTGTTGACCGTTGTCCTTCGCTGTTCACAAACTATGACATTTGGGCACATTTTGAATACAAGTGAAACTTAACAATTTGTAAGTTTGAATCCGCAAAAAATCCACTGTTTTGATTCTTGCACAAAAAAACTGAATTCGGTGAGAACGCGAAATTTTAAGAATTCGACGTGTTTTTATTGGTTTGAAAGGTGGCCAATGGTGTTGCTCGAGTGGCATGCAAATGTGCCCTACGAAGTAATCATTGAGCGAATAAAGGTGTTTACTTTAAATTCTCGAAGCACTCGAAAAAAGAAGTGATGACGGACACGCTATGTGAGTGTTTGGCGCATTTTCAAATACTCTCAGACATTTGCTTCAATGGCTAAAAATTATGTTTGTGAAAGCTTTTTTAATTTGGTAAAAACGTAAACGGTATGATGGAAACAGTAATTTTTTTATTTATCATTTGCTCAAAGGCTCGCTGAAAAGTTTCTTCATTCCGATCATTCTTTACCGGTGGTATAATTTCGTGACAAATCTTCATCAAACGCAGGTGAGAATTTTTGCAGAACTTATTTCGCACAAATTATCTTTTGAAGAAACTTTCATCCAAACAAATCGATTTAAACAAGGCTTCTAAACTTCGTGTTGACCGCTTCACTTTTCTCTTATAACATATCTTTTAAAACTTCCGGTAAGATTTCTGCACAGCCCCAATATTTGTTTTGCATACAGCTCGTGGATAAGTAAATGTGTAGTGAAAACAATATATTACCTCCGGAACTACAGTTTTGTTTTAGAATAGAATGGAACTGTGTGGAAATCTCACCTAATTTTCAACCGAACGACTCAAATTAAGTATTTTTCGGGCGACTGACCGACAAAATTTGAATACAAAAGCCTGGCGGCAGCATCCACGTTTACACACAATGAGCCTGTTTCAAAGCTAAATCGAATGCTGTAACTTACTGTTGCTTGATTTTTGCTTCCGATCCAACTGTTCCTCCTCCTACGCTTAATTTATGGTACTTGCATCATCTAAATTAATCCAAAACGTGAAAAAAACTAATTATTTCTTGTGGTTCCATAGAGTTTGGGACAATTTAATAGGCTTCAACATAAAAATCCTGAAACATGTTTTAAACATTGATACGGAAATTGTAATTAATTACTTGATCTTTCTAGAAATCCTTCAGAAACCCTAAATGTTTCCTAGTTGTAAACAGAAGGTATCTTTTTCCTCAGTAAAATTCCAGTTCCTAAGAAAAGAAAAATGACGCGCACAATGATATGCCAGTTGGCCGAAAAAGTAGAGAAAAGACATGTAAAATTCCACCTGATCTGAGATTCGCAGAAATTGTAAATAAACAAAAAAAATTAAAACCTCAGACAGCTGCAGTATACCAATTAAATCCTTGACTTGTTTGCTTTAAACAACAACAAAAGATGGAACAATTTTTGGCAAAATCACGTAAACACCCTGCTAAAATTCTTCTGATCTTTTACTTGGCGCGAAAATTTCTGATGTTATTTGTTATGCAGCCACATCTATTTTCAATTTCTAATCACATCCTTGGCAAGAATTACTCTTCGTATATTTGGAAGTATTAAATCTGTTTGAAGTTACCGCATCGGCTTAGGCTGATGATGTTATTTACGTGTTTTCCTCCAAAATACTTCTAACGGAGCTTTTATCGAAAACTAGTTCAACATGCCTACGCTTCAAGTGTTAGTGTACATCAGAATTTTCTGTACAAGAACTTACGAGTTGAATTCTGTGTGACTCTTACCTTGGGCTTTGTTGCGAAAAAACTGATAATGGCAGGTTTTCAATCGCTGTCAGAGCATAAGGCATAAACGATTCCGAGATGCTTCTAGCTTCGTTTAAACGTTAGACTTGACTAGTGGACGAGTTTTTCTAGCACTTTTTCCTTGAGTAGTGAATCAGTTCAGACCACGAGGAGCCAAAAATGTAAATGAATTGAGAGATTAACACGTGCAAATTTAGCCTCTCGGACAAAAACCTTCAGAACGAGGTCGATATGTGAATTTGCATGGCGGGTTTCCTGACTTGACAGAGTTTCAAAACATGAGTTCATTTTCTAATTCTTCAAATGCACTTTTAAAAGGGTGAGTATTCTTTTTAAGGGGAAAGTTAAGAAGGAAAGTAACCCAAGTACAGTTGAGAGAGTGTGTATAGCTTGGGTTTTTCACCTTTCTTAATATTTGATAGAGTTCAAGGTTCAGCGCTTGCAAGAAGATTTCTTCAAAATATTTATTTCAATTATAAATTAAGCAGAAACAACAACAACAACAACAAAATCATTTCAAGTTTTCCATAGGAATAATTATTGACATGTTAAAAAGTTTCTTAATGAAACGCTTAAACTTATTTACAATTGGCAATAGTTTCATCTTAGAGAGCCTAAGAGACAGGATTTTTTAAAAATGTTTATTATTATCTGTTTCAAAAGCAGTTGTAGTCCAAGTGGTCAAGATCTCCTTGCGCTTATCTTACTTCAAGTCTCTGCAGCATTACGTTAGTTGGGGTCCAGTCCAATCTCCCCGGATAGGACGTGAATCAGTTAGCAATAATTACGTCAAGAGAGCGCTCACTCTGCCAGTCAATCTCGTTCCCAGGCCCTCTTTCTTTCTTGTAAGTGAGAACGAGGAAGGAACCCGCAAAACAAATTGGCTGTCATTTTGAATGGGATATAATGATTTTAATGCATCTCACGAATCTAATACTTCTCTAATAAAAAAATATATACATTCTACTTTAATCACAGTTAAAACAGTGTTCAATCAAGCGTCGAAAATAACCGAAATTGTATGAAATGCCTTTTGATCCTCTGCGCATTTTGATCGGCTTAGAAATCTCACACCACTTTTTCACCCAATCAGATGTAAAACTTAAATCAGACACAATATAATCAGTTGGTTTTCTTCCCGCGCCATTTCCCACGCTTTTTTCTTGCGCTTTTTTTCCCCCGCGCTTTTTTTCCCGCGCTTTTTTCCCGCGTTTTATTTCCCGCGTTTTTTTGTCCGCGGTTTTTTGTCCGCGGTTTTTTTTCCCGCCCTTTTTTCCCTGTGGTTTCTTTTGGCGCTTTTTTTCCGCTTCTTCTGGCCAGCCACATATATTATGCCATTTTAAAGGCTTCCTGTGATAATAACCCTATTACCTTAGTTTTGATTTTACAGCACCCAATCAAGAAGCTCTCTGCCAATCACTGACCACGGACTACGATTTCCAGTCTCGCTACCTCCAAAACTTTCTCTTTGCGATGTAACACCTTTAAGAAACTCTTACTTCGCAGTTTCTTCCAAATGTCTCTAAATGCTTCCTTGAACCGTTTGTCGTGGAATGGATAAAAAAATGGATTTAGAGCGGAGTTTAAAAACCCTAACGCGACGAATGTCTCAAACAGTGTTAGCGTGATAGGCGATTTAATGCACGACAGACAAATGTTTGCAATCAAACTTAATGTCACGTAAGGCAGCCAACAAATGTAAAATAGCATGACAATAATTCCAATGTATCGACATCCACTAAAATTTCGCTGCATTTTTTTCTTTCCAGCCTTTTTTTTTCTGGCAATCGGTTCAAGTTGCATCGATGTCGCGGCATTTCCGATGCACAGAGTGTTGGTAGAATAACATGCAGATTCGTTCGTGTTGAAAGAAATATTTGTTTCTTGTTCTTTAACCCTTTCACGGTGCCGAAGTACAATGGAGCAGATAAGAGACCAGAATATTGCCATGAATATCATTGGTAGTAAAAAGTTCATGACATTGACTGTGATATTGTAGGCTGCTGTATTCACAAAGTAGCACTGGCCGTTTTGAATTATGGGTACATGAAATCTCCAGCCCATGAAAGGTAGACACGCCCAAAAGAGTGCGTACATCCACACGCAGCAGATTATAGAAACTGCCCTCCTTGGAGTCATAAGAGAGGCGTAGTGAAGAGGCAACCTCAGAACCAAGTAACGATCTACCGTGACAGCGCAAAGATTTATAACGGAACTTGGCACGGCCAGTAGATACATAGTAGTATAGAGACCGCACTCGAACTTGCCATGCTTCCATTTGTAACTGTTTAGAGTGTATTCCACTTTAAACGTCATCACTAACCCTGAAGTTAGTAAATCGGATATCGCCAAAGAGACTACGAAATAATTTGTAACACTTGTTCGTAGTTTAGTGGATACGATGAATGAATACACGACCACGAAGTTGCCGATGAGCGCCATAAGGATGATGAGGATCTCTGCAATGGAGAGGAAGACGAAAAATTTCTCCACTTTTGACTTTGTTTGAAATATTGCTGGAGTGGATGTCGTGTTGATGCTTGCAATAGAAGCGTTTGCGTATAGGCTCATTTCTTACGTCAAGACAAACAACTATCCAAGAGCTGAAAATGCAAAAGAAGGGTGACGCCAAAAACGCACGAGAGAAACTGATTCGAGCTCTGACAGGAACTGGCCTGTACCCTGAGAGGAACTGGTTCAAGCCCCGAGAGAAACTGGTTCGAGTTCTGAAAGGAACTGGTTCGTGCCCCGAGAGAAACTGGTTCGAGCGCCTAGAGGAACTGGTTTAAGCTTCGAGAGAAACTGGTTCGAGCAACGAGACCGGTTCGGGCTTGGAGAGAAACTGGTTTGAGCGCCAAGAGGAACTGATTCGAGCCTTAAGAGGAAATGGTTCTTGCCACGTTGAAGCTCGGGAACGGTCCTGCAAAAGTTAATGGAAACCACTGTGGCTGTTTTTGCTAGTAGGTGAAATCTTAACGTTGGGGACTGGGTAAGAGTGATACACAAAACACCTGATTGAAACATGAGTTAAGAAAAAAGTTTACAACAAATGAATGAATTAATTAATTAGAGATTTATCTTACAGAGGGATCGTTCTTGCGTAGGTGATATGGTGCAGAAAAAATAAAAGGTCTAGCCATGTAGCATGTGCAATAATTTTCTATCATTAACAAAATTTTTTGCTAAAATCTGTAATTATAATCGGCTTTCAGTTATAAATAAGCCTTTTCACCCTTTTTGCTGGTTTGCAACCTCTCGAAAAATTAAAACGCACAGCGACAGATACTCAGCACGAAGTCATGTGCCGTGTCACGCGTTAGGAACTTCAGGATGTTTTTCAGGCAACGTAAAATGAATGACAGACTATGAAAACGTAGATGTCAAACATGTCAAATTGAGCTTGTGAAATCAAGAACTAAAAGGCTCAAAGGAGCCGCCTTATTTTGCGGTTTAATGTTCAGATTTTTAATGCCATACCATTAAGAAATATGAAGAGATTACTGCTTTAAAACTTGAGGCAAAGAAATGCCATTATTTGGCGAACAAATGAATACATGCTTATGAAAAATCGAGCTACATAGAAATAAAAAACTTAGCGATTTTATCCCCACGGGCCGGAGCTGCAGTTTTACATGATCCGCCGATTATAACACCAGACCAGATAAAATATAAAGAGCATAATACTGTAAACCTTGCTTTAAAGAAAATCCGTTATTTTTCGAAAAATGTTAATGTTCGTAAGATTTTCATTTAATTGTACACATATAGAGGTCTTCTATATCGTTTGCATCCTGTGTTTACCTTTACACAAGTTTTCCTGTTGTCTATTTACCAGAGATGCACTGTCAAAGAAGTGCTCTCAGTCTCCAAGACAATATATTTGACAGTTTTTCCGGTCAAAGTACATTTCTACTCAAGGAAAACCACATCTTTGGCTTTTCAAAATTGCGAAAGAACCTTAGTGTGTAAAATTGACTGCGGTCTTTTTCAAAAAATTGTGCGCGTTTTTTTCTTTGCGGAGTCTCTCGCTAGAGCACTTTAATATTCTGTGCTATATTTAATCACACTGATGTATTTAATTATCTAGAAATTTTAAAATGAGTGTAAATGACATTTCGAAGAATGCCTTACTCAAGTACCTCGAGAGGTTATCAGCTCATCAAAGGATTCTTTTATGCAAATCTTAGAGCAGTTGTGTCCCACCTTAAATTAACGACACATACATGATAAATTAAAGGAAGACCCAAGATCAAAATGTTCCAAGTAACAACAAAAAGTGCATGTATAAAAATTTCAAAAATTCTCGTCGTTAGAGAGCTGAATTTTTCATGTGGAATTGGAAAATGATGATAAGTAAATGGGCAGATATCCTCCTGTAAGGAACACCATTAAAATTTACAATGCCACAAGCAAATGCCATGGAAAATTTTTGAACGGTTGAGTGAGTTAACTAATATACGATATGTAGGCACATAAAATGAAGTCTCCAAAATGAGTAAGTTTGGAGATAGACATTACAACATTTTTATACAAAAGGATTGAGTAAAAGATTTTTTTTCTCACCTTTAAATGCTGATCGTGGTAATAACTTGCAGGGCAAAACGAAAGCTGAATACTGGCAGAAACTGTCGATCAAAAAGTTACAGCAAGCGTGAATTGAAAACTGGGTTTTCTCGCTTGAATAGCAGTCAAGCAAGCAATATGTTGAAATCAGCGGCAGTAAATGTGAGATTAAAGTTGGTTGTAATCTATCTTAAAAAGCTTGCAGCAGCTGGAAGTAGTCAAAAATGAGAAATGTCATTCTGCTGCTCGTGGCCAACAAAAGATGTGCAAGTACGTGCAGTCTGTAGGCGAATTACGCAAGTAGCAATTAATGTTTCGCTCAATAATAAGGTTACGAAATTAAAAGGCTTGGCCCGAGCGGCGCGTTGCCGTCTCACCGATTAAATTTACGCGGAACATGCCACACTAAGGGCTTGGGCAAGATTTTTTAACAGTTAGAGGAATGGCTAGTTGAATCCCGATTCCTACAGTAGCATCTTATTGGTAACTTGGCTTGATGAACCATGACGATGGTAATATTTTGCAATGTGATTACAACATCCTCATGCATTACTCACTCAATATGACTTATGAAATATAAACCTTGAAGTCATAAGTGATGTCAACTACGTAACGACCACAAAGCTATCAAAAAAAAAAAACATACCGAACTGGGTTTTTAAGAGTCATCGCCAAATTACTCGTGAAGTTTCGGAAGTTACTTTCGGATTTTCTCATTTTGGTATAATTGGGAAGGATGAAAGGTTTTAAAAAACTCGCTCTTAGTGAGCTACACGTCAACATAGAAATCGCATTATGTTAATCAAAAAATGTCTTCTTTTGACAGATAAACTTAAGTTCTTCAGCAAAATTTTGTTTCAGCTCTGTGCAGCAATATTCTTGTGTTACGATGAACGAATATGACCATTTAACAAGAATTAATTACTACCAGCTATATTCGTGATTGTCTTTGCTATGAAGTACTGATAAAAGTGAAGGTGGGGAATCTAAAAAAAAAAACCTACATCGCGACTATTCCGCTCTGAAGTATTAACTTTTCCTGTCGGCGCCATTCATTTAGTTCACTGCAGTGTACAGTAGAGAGTTATGCCCATACAGGCCTTCAATAAATTTGTTTTTTCATAATATCGATCGACACTGCAACTGAGGTCGTCAATATTGGTACAGGAAAACCTGGAACGTTTTATGGTCACTTGTCAAATGAAATTCTACTTTATAGGTCCGGATGTTCTACATTTAACCCCTGCTTCTTGGCATATTTGATTTTTTTTTTCTTTTTTTTTTTTTAACCACTCAAAATATCTCTGCAAACGATCGCTTTTTTTTTTAAATTTTTTTTTTAAAAGTATTTTAAACCTCTAAAAACACACTCATATTTTACCAAACAAGAATAAAGGAAACTTAAAATCGTTCAGCGGGTTTTAAGGTTTCGTTAGGGGAGTTGTTGCTATTTTTTCCTGTTATGAATATCGTCTTCCGTTGTACGGCGTCAAAATTAACCAATAGAATTATTAATAGGCTATAAGTCTATTTTTAGCCATTCTGGTGTACTAAAACGGCTTGTTTTGCATGCTTGTAGCCGCAAATACCATATTTCGCATACACTCAGCTTAACATTAACATTAGACCGGTAATTCATCAAAATACATAAAAGTTTAGAATCTTTCGAAGGAAAATGCAAGCTGGCCGTTGAACGAAAAAAGATCTCCATGCGGCTTACGCGAGGCAGAATTGTCGCACAATTAGACCATATGCCCTCGCTTCCTGGCATTTTAAAGTGGAAGAGCTTTCAACTCAGGACACAACACATGACGCGGGGCGCAATTTGTCGAAAATATCTTTGGACTGAAAACTCAAAATAAGTTTCGCTTTTCCAACTCTTCAAGTTTGCCAAGCATTCGTTTCTACATTCGTTTAAACGAAAATGACTGTCATCATTTTTTTGGTTGATGAAGTCACTTAGTTTTTGAACTAGCGACAGGTATCTCAAGGGAAATTGGAAGTTTTCATTATAACGTTTCAACTTTTTAAATCATCAATTTCGTGGTTCAAGTCACGAAACGGACTTTCTATTAACGCGCACGCTGTGAGACAAATGCAAATTAATGCTGTGAAAGAAATTAAAGCAATTTGTAGCATATCGGGTAGCAACTGCTTTAAACAGAAAATTTTAGGCTACTTTGAATCTTCGACGAGGTGGTCTAATTCTCAAATAAAAAAATTTAAGCTGGTTTTGAAACTAAAGTCAAACAAGTTATGTAGCGCTAACAAGAAATTCTTTGAACGACGTGCACTTCAGTTGAACTCGAAGGTCCATCCCGAAAAAATGGTTTTCTAAGGATCGAATTACTCCCATTAAGAGCGAGAGGAGAAGGTTCTTAAAAATACATTTGTGTCAATCTAGGAAGCAATAGAGAAGAAATAATGACATGTGTTGAGTTATTGGTACGGTCACAAACTAAGTGTTTATAAATGCATAGATCACCTAATTTTCTCTGTATTCAAACCTTACCTTGTGCTTGCTTGTACCTCTAGAGTCAAAAAAGAAAGTTTGACAGCAATTTTTTGTGGTTTACCCTGTTTGTTGATAAAACACATCTACCAAATTCTGAGAATGCCACATTCGCAGAGCAAATAAATTCACTTTTTACTGCTTCTTTGCATAAGTAGCAATTCCTGCTTTCAGTGCAAAATATAGATGTCGGTATTGTTTCAGTTTAAATAACAACCGCGTGTCATATTAATTGCTTTAGGCTGGCTAGTGCCAGTTGCTTTTGTTTGTTTGCCGTGGGTTTTTGACCTCCGCAATGAAATCGTGAGTGTTCAGTGTTTTACATATGAAAAGAAGATATTTAAATAATTTGTACTACACGCGTCGGCTGTGCAGAAAGATCGAAACAAACGTGAAGAAATTTATTAAATGCAAGACATTGCAATTGCTGACACTCTAAAGCCTGAAAGAGCAGCTCAATATCTCTTAGTTCTTAATGAGGGATAACGTGGACCTTTTATGTGCTTACCAGATATGAGAACGATCAAACTTAATCGTCTTTAGTAGATATTGTAGATGAGTTTTGAGTGTAATAACAGCATGCAAACTATTACAGAAACAGTTTGAGGCCATCAAGTCACAGAAATGTTTGAAAATTTGATTCAGTTGAGAATGGCGTGTCGTGCATTCTCTCCAGAAATGAACATTAGTGAAGTAAACATCTGTTTGTTCGTCTTTCTTTTCTAAAACAACTTTTGTTTACACAGCATTTGTGGCTAGAGCTGGCATAGCATAGCAACTTCGAATTATTTTGTAGAATTTTTTAGCTAAAGGTCGGGTTGTGCGCGCCAAATATGTCTCAAACATTTGCATGTCTGTTCTGAGTCGTTGGACCTTATGTTCAGCTTCAGGAAATGATAGATAAAAGGTCAAATTATTGCGGTAAAAACACAAAGCCTTTGGCAAATAAATGTTCTTTTGTTTATGAAGCTTTTCTTTTTAATTTCCGTACGTACGAACGACGCAAGTGTAGCCTCAGAAGCTCAGAAGTCTTTGTTGAAAATGAAGATAAAAGTCCCAAAATTATCTCCAGAGAAGCGACAACCTAGGAGGTTTTATCTCTTTTGTTCGTCTTTGGAGCGGGGTTTGTAATCAAACATTACGTTCATTCTGAACAACATTTCGTGCCACAGCAATCGCTAGTTGATAAGTTAAGCCTAAATTTAGTTTCGCCTCCAGGTCGATGCACACAAAATAGGTTACCATACAGAACGAAACTTTTGCCGGTTATAATTTCGTTGAAGTTTGCAGACCGTCCTCAATTCGTAAAAACTTGTCGTGCGTGGGAAAAATATCCTACACAATAAAAAGCTGTCAAAAAATATGCAAACTTTGGTCCAACAAAAAAACCTTCAGGGCCAGGGAAGATAGTGGGATAAGGGTATAAATTTTTTTTCTCTTTTATTTTGTTGTTTGTCCACTAAGATAGAAAAGCTTAAAACTTGAGTCTATTCTACATACTGCGTTGCAAAAAAAAAAAAAAAAAATTTTTGCGAAGTGTGTACGTGCCTCTTTCAAAGGCGGCATCACTCAAAGCGTCCACTTTTGTTACCTTGTTTTTGAGCACGAGGAACCGATATCATGGCAAAACATGGAAATATTTAAGTTATTGCTATGTCAAGGTCAAGAGCTCAAATATACCCGTATTTGTTTCACCTGAGCAAATAAACCTCCATATAAACAGGATGTCAGTTGTGAATTGTTAATGCTCAACTGAATAATTTCCTCCGAGGTCAAGACTCACGTAGCTTTTTAGTTTCTGAGGGGGGAGGGGGGTGGGGCTTTTTGTAGAGGGTAAGGGACTGGGCACTATTTATCGCGGGAAAGGGGGGAGGGGGAACCGGAGGATTTTGATTGTGTCACGAAAAAATTTACCTGATCCATGTACAAGTCTCAAGTGTAAGTCTTATGATTCCCCTCCCCCCCCCTCCCCCAAACCATGTGATCTCACCTAAAATCCTCCAAACTACATCAATGCTCCACGATTTTGGATCAGAATCGACAAACCCAAGCTAGCTTTGCTTTAACTGTGGGGTGTGTTTCGATCGAGTGTCTTTGAGCCACTACGTCATTACCCTACGTCATTACATCGGCCAATCAGAACAAATGACAACGCCTTAAGGAACCGATTAAAAAAAAAAAAAGATGGAGAAGCAACTTATTCAAAGCGCTGGAAAACGCAGCTAACCAGTGCTTTTGATTGGTGAAGAAAGTGGCGCGAGTATTGACCAATCACGAATCATAGTAAAACAAAAGTAATCATGCATGACAATCCTGAGAAACTTTTCGATACTTATTAATCTTTGCTCTACAGCTGTAGATGTTATCAGAAAGATAAAAGCACTTAAATCGCATCAACTCATCTCGGGACTCATAATGCATAACTCATGCATAATATGTGGGTGGGTTTGATCGCCGTTTCGGTTCTATTGCTCCTTGAGTTTCCAGTGTTGTGGAAACACGATTTGAGTCCTAAAGACTCAAAAAATAACTCAAGACCACCTTCGATTAAAAAAAATAATAACAGAAAAATTTTTTGATGTGTTTTCTAAAGGCGAAAAAATTTATCGTTCTATTTTTCATCGCTTGAAAATCTGACAAGGGTAGGGAAAAGATGAACACGTTACAAGAGAAAGAATGAATAGGTCTCTTTCAATTTAAAAGGTTTTCCTCTTTTTGCATCTGGACAAATGAAAGAGCCTGTTTGTTTGGTAATTTCGATCTAAAACTGTTATCATCATTTGACTTATATCGTCGCGGGCAGGTCAATAAAGCAAACTAGTTGTTGTAAAAACCATGCATTCCCGTCAGCTTTGAGTACATTGGAACAAAGTTGTTCAACAGTGTTATTACATTGCTTAAAACTGATGAGATTTATCTCTATACAAAAGAGTTGCGTGCGTCAGCGGGCAAATTAGAAAATGAACTCTTCGGGTTTGGTTTCTTTTGAAAGGTTTTGAGGTCTGTGCAAACGTCAATTGGATATGGATTATGTATATTATATATACTTCAATTCCACAAGGATAAGAGCCATCTGTAAAATCTGAGGTGGGTTTGTTAATCCCTTTTTGAGGGAAAGATTGTCGAACTTACCCACGCACTCACGCCTATTGTGATCCTAAAGTTTCTTGTTTCGAGAAATTTTATTGAAGATTTATGGGTATCATATTCAACTTGAGAGCCCGGGTTGATTTTGTTTATTTCTTTGATTGCTCTGTTATGTTTTGTTTCGTTTTTTTTCTCAATGTTTGTTGTACAGTATGGAACATTTGCGCATCAGAACTCTTGTCTGGCTAATAGAGAAACGTAGGAAGACCTTTTCAAATTTCTAATGGATTTGACCAGCTTTGGGCTATCTTCTCCCACATAAAGGCAGGATCTAAAATGGGTTTAAAAGCTTAAACACTAGCATTCTGTGGCGTTTAGGAACCGCTTCTTCTTTGTGAATAAAATGAAGTTCTTCAAACTCATATGCGTTGAGTTTTCATGTCCGGTACAAGTCTTTACCAAATACCGCTCTTATATATGCTTATTTTACGGTGTTCGGCCAATATCGTGTTTTACAGTACGAGGTTAACCATATGTAATGACAACGAAAGCAGTACCTGCATCAAATATCCCAGAACAGAAAAATTTCTCACCTCCAGAATCAGATCTAAGAACAGTTCTCCACAGACTTAGTTTTCACTCTCAATTGTTTAGCACAGGATGTCGCCCAACTGGTTTAAAGACTAATATGTGGACGACGAGGAAATTGTCTGCGAATTTATTGCCAACATCAACCGACGCCCAATTACTTTTTTGACAAGTGGTTTAAGATTGAAGATCACAAGATATCACTTAAGCCACTGGACGCCAGCCATTGTTTTTTTCAAGAACTTCAAAATGTATAGCTCCTTATCAAGAAAGCTATCTTACATAAATAAGGGAACAACTGAAAAAAGTATCAAACAAGCTTTGATATCTCTGATAGTGGTGAAAAATTGGTCAGTTGATATGGACATTTTGAAGAACAGTGTAGCGGTATATTTGCTTTGAAGAAGCATCAAGTAAAATGAAATCACTTAATCTCACTACTGTACCTCACAGCACTTTGGGCTCAGTTTGTTTATTTCAGTTTGTTAATTCATTGTGCAATGATCGCTACACTTTAACTTAAATATAAACCCTATTTCAAAATCCTGCATTTTTATAATTATACCCCCATATGAGAAGATGGAAAAAAAAAAACGTATCGGGACATTAATAGGCATAAAAAACGTAATACTTTGTAATCTAGCGTAGCTGGCATACAGCGGTGATCCCGCTGGGTAATAAGCTGAGAAAAGCCATTAACTCAGAGCTCAAGACATAATAAAGCACAGAAGTATGAAATTCAGAAATCGCGGTGCCATATGAAATAATTTGTGAAGGGAAATCATTAACCACCTAACCTAAAATGATACCACCCACTAGATTTGAAGAAAGTTTATTTGCCAATGTTAAAATAATTGTTACAAATATCGGCTTTATTTTGATGTAATGGAAGGAGATATTCCGGTGCAATCTAACGCAAATTTTAATGGGAACATGTAAGTTTTTCCCGTAACAGTTCAAGGAAAGCTCTTGTCATACATGCAAACTGATGTACGGAAACGGACAAATCGCTTTTTTTTTCCGCCAGTTTCAATCCACGTGCAATGAAAGTTGTAAAGAAATTACATTGTACGGGAATCGTGCAAGATAACCAGCTGGAATCGTACAGGACTGCCTTTGTTTTGTTCCGCCCTTCCTGAATTTGATTCTCGAAAAGTAAATTAAATGCGGTTTGATGTAGAATATCGATTTCCTGTGCCCGCGTAAATGAACTTACTTCGAAAAATACTTCAGAAACTGCAAACAACGTTCTTTTATTCGGAACTAAACTGCATGAAAAACAAAACAAAAAAGACGAAAACAGTCGGGTGCTAAAATCGAACAACGGGACGTAATGATTTACACGAGCCACGACCGTACATTTGTCGTAATTTTAGGACAAGAATTACCTGAGGCTAGAACCCGAATGAAAATAAGACAGTTGATATTTTCGCCGCGGTATAACAAAGTGAAATGTTTCCGACATGTCGGCCTTTTTGTTATCCTTGATAACTTGGTCAAAAATAGTGAGACTAACTAGTGGACTTTAAACCCAAACAATGCATCGATCTCAATCAGTAACTAAAAATTTTTTGTAAACATGTTTTTCAAAAAAAAAGAAAAAAACATTTATGAGCGGAACACAAGAAAAATCTGAGTTCACGCATAACTGAACATCAGCTACCGTTCGCAAACGAGGCCGAGTTCGTTATTTGAATTTACCATAAGTTTAGCAGACTAAAACCTACAAACACAAGTGAAGCCGTGTTGACTTAGATGAACGTGCGAAAAATTGTTTCTTCTCTGCTTCGGTGTTCTTCATTTGAATAATTAGATCTAGAAATAAATGCATATTCGCGAAAGTAAAGTGAAAAGAATCTTACTGCGATTTGCAGAATTAAAAGAAGCTTAAATTTCTAAGCTACAATGAAACCTCCTAACATAGGCGCTCCAAGAGAAATAGCGGTATACCGTAACAATTGGTCATATTTACCCACATACCCTTTCGGTGCCACAGAGTACGTTTACACGAGCGTTTTTCTGGAAAACTTTCTCGATTCTCACTCGAAAAAGTGTGCGTCTATAACAAAAGGATGTTGGTGATGACAAAAACTTTCCATCCAAAGTTTGCAAAAAATACATTAGCATGACATCAACTTAGCTCGCTGTAAGTAACAAATTTAAGGCACTGTAGATAAAAATATTCTAAAAATCCCCTCCGAAAGTCAATTTTATTTAAAAATACTAACAATTTCAATCAATAAAATAGTATCAACTTATCACAACAAATACATTTATTTGTTTAACAAGTCTTATCATGCGAATACTGTGAGAACAACTCCCCTCTCGCAAGGTTACTAATACTAAATTGCACAAATCTCGCGCAGCTAAAATGTATGAAACGCTCAGAATTTTAAGTAGGAGGTATTTATTTAAGTTACTTTGGTGTTCGTTTCTCGTCTTTTCCTCACTGGGAATCTACTGATGAAACGAATTTCGGGTTTTCATCACAAAGCAATGCTATATTGCGGATAAACTTCACCTGCACGAAGGTTGGTGTAAACGATAATCTTGCTGTCAATATACGATTGAAAAACTTGTACGGACAACACCATATCCTTTAGTTAACTTTACTTCACTGTTAAAAATTATATAGGAGTTTGCTCATTAACTCAGTCACTACAAAATTATTTCATTTTTATAACTTTGGCCAAGATCTTTGTGCGGCAAAACAATCGAGTTAAGAACTATTACTTCTCCTGGTATTGTTACATTTCGACCTGAAACGCAAATAAAAAAGTTGCGGTTTAATCATCAGCTTGATGTTTGAAAAATCTTCGTCGTCTGAACTAAGAATACAAAATTTTTAGAATATTCTTCCACTGAGCGACTTCAAATCATAGCCGACGTCAGAAAAAGCACGACCAAAGTAGTTTCCAGTAAAACGTTTCAAAGTAAAACGTATTTCAATTGAGTGGCGTAGCATCAAAACCAAAGTTATCACAACAACCAATCAGAACAAAGGGAAATATCAAAAGAGCCAATGAGATCTCAAACAAAAATCAAGTAAGTGCCCAAAGCGCGGGAAAACGCGAGTGATCATCCGCGATTGATTTCACTTTTGAATCTGATTGGTCGAGAAAGTGCGCGAGTTTTCTGGACAATTCAGAGAGTGACACAAAGCAGACCAAAACCGACCCCAAATTGCTCTCCACAATCAATTAAAAATTTCTCTCTTACAAGAAGCCAAAGAGGGCTCAAGGTAAAAAAAAGTAAGAAGCCTGGTAACGTGCGGGAAGCGCGGGAAAACGCAATTGACGAAGATTCCATGTCACCATGTATGTTCCTAAACTGTGACCCAAAATCCTTTTTTCTCCTACCTAGAATTGTAATTGATGGAGTCAATTTGCCATCCTCTCCGAATAAGGATTCCCCATCAGGCCTTGAAAATTCCTCATTTGGGTTTGGATCGCAGCGACTGCCCTCGACACGTGACCACATTCCTATCGAACAATTCCAGCCAATGATACTGTACAGAATACAGCAGTGATCCTGAATAAAAAATAAGCATGAGATCTGGGTATTAAGCAGCGTCAAATTAAACCAAACTTTCCTTTGGCTCCTAAACAAACTCAACCTAAAAGACGTTGGACCGAAGTCAGTATCTGAGCAACTGCTCACCTATCCCTCCCCTGACTCAAAATTAACCCTAACTTGTTACTAGTTGACGAATGTTGGTAAGGAGAGGGATAGGTCTGCAGTCTCTCAGATACTGACATTGATCTTCATATATTCACAGTCGTTCATTCATCACTTCAAGCATCTATTACAAACCAACAAAATGATCAGCTCCCAGTTGGTTTGTTAGCTCAGTTGATAGAGCATTGCGCCCGCATTGCAAGGGTCATGGGTTTAACTCCTGTTCAGGCTTTGTTTTCATTTCTGCTCAACTAATGTTCATTTATTCATTGAATATGTTGGTTTAACCCTTTAACCCTTTAACTCCTAGAAGTGATTAACATAAAACTTCTCCCTACAATATCCATACATTCTTCAGCAAACAGGTAATGAGAATATTCAAACTTATCAGGTAGAAGCTGCTATCTTGATCTAGCACCAAGTTCTCATAACTAATTTACAAGGAAATGTGTGGCAGCTACAGAGGAGAATTGACAATCAGATCTTGGGAGTTAAAGGGTTAACTCCCAAGATCTCATTAGTAATTCTCCTTACTGTCTGCTATACAGTTCTTGTGATGTTAGTTTGAAGAATTTGGTATTGGATCAACTTATAATCACCTAACTGATATTTTTCTATATTCTCATGATTTGTCTGCTAGATATTGTTTTGATATTGTAAGGAGAAATTCTGTCTTGGTCACTGATGGGAGTGAAAGGGTTCATACATTCGCAGTTGTACATTAATTTCTAAAGTATGTACATCCTGGATAATTAAGTTCAAAAGTTAAAGCCATCTATCACCTTCAGTTCAGCTCCATCCAGTAAAATTGTTTCTCTCACTCGTGCTCCAGCACCTATTACAACATTGCTTCCTACTGACACATTAGGACCAAGCTGTCAGAGACAGGGAAAACCAGTCATTATTTACTATTTACCACCTTGGGCTGAGGGGGGGTTAGGGGGATTTATTTAGCAGATCACATGATTTTCAGCGGGAATGGAGAGGGGGACAGTGGCTGTTAACAGAGTATAAAGGTCAATGATCAATGCATTGGTTGGTTGGTTGGTTGGTCAGCTTGTCAATCAGACAGTCAGTCAGTCAGTCCACCAGTTCACCAGTTAGACAATCATTAAATTAGTAGATCGGACAGAAAATCAGTCAGTCCATCTGTCAGTCAGTCAGTAAGTTAGTCAATTAACCAGTCAGTCAGTCCGTCAGTCAGTCAGTCAGTCAGTCAGTCAGTCAGTCAGTCTGTCAGTCAGTCAGTCAGTCAGTCAGTCAGTCAGTCAGTCAGTCAGTCAGTCAGTCAGTCAGTCAGTCCCTCAGTTTGTCAGTTTCTCACTCAGTAAGTTAGTCACTTACACAAGTAGTAAGTCAGCCAGGTGGTTGCTCTTCAGTTAGTGGGTAAGTCAAATGATAACCAAGTCAGTGTCAAGTCAGTTGTTGATTCAATTAGTACATCATTCACTTGATCAGTCAGTCAACATATAAGTTAAGAATGTTTCAGTAAGTCAGTCAGTTAGTCAGTTGTCTGCTGGGTAATTGGCCAGACAGACAGACAGACAAACAGAAGGTCCTATGGACAGCCAATAAATCCCTCTGACAATAAATAATTCAACAAGGGTAAAAAAATATTTGAAACCAAACAAGACCATTGGAAATTATCTTACCACAGCTGATGGGTGAACAACTGCACTTGGATGAATGTATACATCACCTGAAACATGACGTTAAAAAATAACAAAATAATTCATATGCTGCAGGTGACATGATGCAGTAGTATGTTATAGTCACTTCATGCTAAAGAAACTGGGTGAGACTTCAGTTAGATGGATCACTCAGCTCAAGAATAGACTTTCAGGAAAAATAAACAGAAAATAATTTTCACACACAATAGATGCTGATGGACACTAAGGTAACTTGTTGTAACATGCCAAAAATCTCGGGGAGTAAAGAACAGTGAAGTAATAAAATTAATTAAGGAAAGAACAAACTCCAGAAGAACTGTGCACACCCATTAGTTCTCACCTCTAATGTGTGGTTGGCCTTTTCCACTCTGAGCTAAAAGATCTGGGTGAGTTTTGTGATACATAGCAAGTACATTTCTATTTGCATAAATTGCAGACCTGTTGAAGAAAAGATAACAGTTTGGCATCACTTAAATTGCCATTAAATTAAAATTTAAGATGGCTGTGAATGCCCCTACAGGAAAGTAGAACCTTAAAGAACTTAATAGATCATGACTAGTATGGAAATTTTCAGTTGAGCCTCAAAAGGAATCCTCATTGGCTGGCCAGTGTAAAGCAATTTTAAAACTGATGTTTAGGGCATTAACCCTTTGTCAGAGTAAAATGAGGAATTGCAGGTTGTGTGTGGTTTATACACAGTAGCAATGGAGCTAAGCTATTGGTGAGAACATGGCAACGTGAAAAATGCTGGAACGAGTTAGTTGAATGAAAAGCATCAATTGATATTGTGCAGAATAAGAGTGAGGGACTTCAAAGATAAATTTTCAAATCATGGAACCAGATTCAACCAGAGTTGGCCACTTGCACTTTTTAATATGCAAAGTAGTTTGCTAGTTTTTACTCGGAGGTCTCAATACTCTCAGATCCTAACTTGCTCACAAAAGTTTCTTACAAAGGGTACTGTCTGAGAAATAAATTGAGCAGTTCAAAATGACCACCACCTCTACAGGATGTTTAAAGAATTACCCAGCATTCTTGATAGATGACCAGAACGAAGTTGACTTGAATGCGTACAGTGATCCTGCACTGGCCAATGTAGCAAGAACATCCTCACCCATTCTGACAGACTCCACATTACCAGGAAATGGTTCTTCACTAAAGTAGTAAAAACAAACATGCATGATCATCATTAGCAGTACTTTAAACTTTGCTAACTGAACAAGACAGCAGGGCAAAGGACAAAGGACATAAGGCAAAGAGACAAGAAATGAACCATCAGGCAGGAAATTGGAAATAAAAACAAAGTGTGGACATGAATGTGCAACATTTCTCAATAAATGGCAGAAGATGACAGAGCTGAGCGCACAAGGGGGAGATGGAAGGGGGACAAAATTTCCATCTCTGGATTCCCCACCCTACCTCTCTTTCCACAATGCAAAGGTATCTGACCATGTTGAAGAACGAAATAGGGTTGTTCTTTCCAAAATATGTCCACTGGCATACCTATGATTGAAGATAAACATGAACTTATGACTACTGCATACCTCATCTTTTGATAATTTTTTTGAATGATTTCCCCCATCAGTTTAAACAAAGCAGCTGGCGAGAAGATGTAAATGCCACAGTTGATTATTTCACTCACAAAGGTCTCTGGCTTTTCCACATAATGCAAAACCTAATAAGCATGAAAAAACAGACAAACCGTTAGAAAAAAGGCAAAACAGATATTATCAAAATGGAGTAAATAATTAGATGGTTTTGACTTCCACAGTGTTTAACATGTGAGTGCCCACCTCAAATAGGTGCCCACCTTTAAAGAAGAGAAAGTTAACCCTTTAAATCTTGTGAGTGACCAAGAGAGAATTTCTCCTTACTACATCTATACAATATCATGCAGACAAGTGATTAGAATAAAGAAAAATATAAATTATGGGATTACTAATTGATCCAATACCAAATTCTCCTAACTTACATAATGAGAATCATTTGGCAGACAGTAAGAAGAATTTCTAATGTGATCTTGGGAGTTATAGGGTTAAGAAGAGAAAGTTAATAATAACCCAGCCTTGAATAGCAAACCCTTACAAACCTCAATAGGGAGCAAGGGAGTAAGTCTCTTAAGAAACTGTGCTGCTGCATTGGTGGGAGAGTATAACAGAGTAATTAAGTATAATCTCCATAAAGAGTTTCAAGAGTTTGGAGCTCTGACAAAGGGCTAACCCTCAAAACGTCATTTTTTAAACTCTTAACAGTAGCCAATTTATGTTATCAATTCAGTTAATAATACTTAATTACCCTCCTTTACAAACCTTGTGTGTCTCAGGGTCTTGAACCAAACAGCCAAAGTTGTGGGCTTGCTTTTTGTTAGCCTGTTGGTGAAAGTTAAGGTTAGAACTTATCATTTTCAATGAAGACTACTCAAAAACTGAGAAAACTGTGGAATACCAAAATTATGTACAGCTGATGTATGACTAGAGCCAAAACAAGAAGGGATAACAAAAGAGGTTTTTTAGTCTTAACCTTAAAACTCCTGGACATAACCAAGGTACCAATCAAGCAGGCGTGTAATGAGAATGAAGAAAAATATCAATTAGGGGATTATTAGTTAATTGATCCAAAACCTAATAATCAGAACTAACATAATAAGAATTGTATGGAAGACAGCAATAATTAATTAATTGATTCATAAGTAATTATTAATGAGATCTTAGGAGTGAAAGAGTTCAGTGCTCATTGTAACAAGTCTCTGTCATGAGCAGCAGTTTATTTACCTCACCAATAACTGTACATTGAAGATCAAATCATTGTTTTACTTTCCTGCTGAAGCAGTGAAACTTCTTCTTCAGAAACTGATAGACTTGTGACATTAATGCCAAGCAAAGTTTAAGAAAAAAAAATTTTTCTTCCTTACGTGTTTGTGTAGGCACCAGAAAAATTGTATTTCAGGACAAGAGTAGTAAGTATTGGCTTATCACCTTCAACATTGGCAATAAAATATGGATAACTGAGAAGAACAGTTCGCCGAAAAACCATGTTAGCCAACAGGTTACTAATTGGCAATCTACCTCTACCCTCACAATTACCGAAAAGTGAACACCTTGCTGTGTGATACTGAGAAATCAGGCATGTCACCATGCATTATTTAGTAATCAAAAGTACAGAAAAATAATTCTTCTTGCCTCTGTTGCCAGAATGGAATGTTCTCCTGAATGTTTCCTGTGAAATTCCACAAAGTCAATGAGAGGGTAATCTCCAATGATGTCTGCATTCAGGACAAGGAAGGCCTCAGGATCACCCATAGCAATCTGATCTCTAAAATGATAGATTCCTCCTGCTGTGCCAAGTGGCTGAAATTCTTGAAGGTACCTTGTAAGGAGTAAAGTATAGTCATGATCAGTGAGCAAGCCAAATGGCTTATCTGATTGGAGATTATCTTGGTTAAATAGTAAAATAAATACTGTAGCACTATTTCTACCACTATCCAGTAGTGCTACAAAATGACTGATATAAACATAGACTGCTTGAAAATTCCAACTGGCAGGAGGCTGACCAGTTGGTTATTTACACAGTGTAGCCAAGGAGTTGAACTTGGGGCAACCGAGAACAAATCCAGTGAATGGCAGGGTGGAGGACTTGAACCTAGGACCACCAGATTACAAGCACCCTAACCACTCACTAGTCTTCCCATAGATGAGATTCTAGTCTAACATCATCACGGCAGTACTAAGAGGTACTACAGGTGGTAAAGTTTACTGGTTACTGCCAGAAAAGGAGAACACTGGGTCTTATAGAATATTTCAAATCTTTTCATGGAATTTATGAAGTCTTGACACACGTGCAATGGCTGATATTGTGAATAGCTACAAGGCACCATACTCGTACTTTTGTTTGTTTGTTGAGAAGTTGCTAAACCCCTCTAGGAAGCCAATTCATGCTACTAATGGTAATACTTCTCCACTAAAGAACTATACTGTATAAATATCAAATAACTTAATATCTATATATTTATTCATAAATAAATTAATATTTACTGGTTATATCTAGCTTGTTACACTGTCTACCATCTAAATTAAAACAGGAGGTATGTATAAGCAGGTGTACAATTCATGATTCTGTTTAACAATAAGAATACTCTTAACCCTTTGACTCCTGAGAGTGACTAGCATCTAATTTCTCCTTACAATATCACCCCTGAATCAAACACAAAGGTCAGGAGAATAAAGGAAAGGATCACCAACTAAAGAAGCTCTTGATTGTTACACAAATTCTCCCTTTCAACACCTTAGGATATGTATTAAGAACAGTATGGAGGATATGAATACTGGTATTAAGGTATAAAAGGTTTATACCTGATGGGAATATTAAATTCTTGTTGAGCATTCTGAATAAATCTTGACAAACTTTCACTTGACTGATAAAATCCTATTAAGATAATTTCCTTGAGATCTGGAATCTAAAAAAAAAAACAAAATTATAATTCTCATATGAAGCTGAAAAATAAGTCCAAACCATTAAGTTATCGAATATTTAAATCTTGGTCTCATCTAAGAAAATCACAGGTATAGTATTTTGCAATAGACCCCGACCAGAAGAAAGTATGAGATTCTCTTTCTGCATCCGTGAAAATTGCATGAATCATTCTGGATAATGACAGTGATGATTTAGAAGCGGAATGTTATGATTCATTACTTTCAGCATATTTCTTTGAGAATTAGAATTTCTGTGTACGTACGCATTTGGACAGCCTAATGGTTTTTTCTCTGATTTTCTGATTTCGATTTAAATTGCAAGAGGCTAAAACAGCAAAGGAAATGAGTAAGAAATGAACGACAAAAAACGAATAATCGATAGGTTATTAAAAGGAAATCATATGATTTTATTGATAGTTCGATCAAAGTTTAATTTAGCAGTACCTTTTTGCAAGCTTCTATATGGTGATACACAACTGGGAATCCTCCGATGGGAAATAAAGGTTTAGGTAACTCCAAGGAAAGTGGACGGAACCTTGTTCCTGTTGACCGAAAGAAAAGCAAGGTTGAAGAAAATTGGATGACTTAGAGCTGATTTTGAAGCCCAGCTGGGAGACGTGCAATCCGTACTCTATAACTAACCTTTCATTGGACCTCCAATGAGAATGACAACCTTGATCATGTTTTTCTCGGAGTCTTACGAATCACACTTGCGATCAAAAGAATAAAATAGGTACCCAATGGGTACTTGTGTCTGCTACAGTGGAATGGAATCTGCTATAGGCGCCTATTTTTTTGAATACTGTTAAACTGGCTAGAAACATCTCCCGAAAGGCAGTGCTATGGAATGCTCAAGGCATCACAAAGATGGGGAACTGAAGTGGTGAATGTCCAATGCTCCAGTTGGAGGTAAGGGATCATCAATATCAATCATCAATATCATGATTGTGATTACATCTTCATCACTGTTTAAATAACTTTTATTGTGTTATGGTACTGCAAAGAATCTAACATTAAAGTGAACGTTTCTTTTATTTTGTAGCAGAATATTTAAATCAAAGAATTGAAATACAACAGCCAATAGTTTTTAACAAAATTGAATAGTATCTGAAGTCTTTGTAACACAAGACAACTGTAATGCAAACGCAGTAGCAGTTTTGCAAAGCAAGAAAAAGTCTCTGGTTGTAATAATTCCTAGGAAATCATTATGTTTTTCATTTAATGGTAATATGCAATCAATTTGGAACAAAACATAGGTAAAACAAAGTTAGTATGTTTACATTGTTGTGTTCAAGTAACTAATAGGTGAATATACTTTTAAAAGTATTTTGAAGTGTTTGTCTTTTAATTGAAATGAAATGTATCAGAAATGTAACGCAACAGAAATAATCAGCAGGATTAATGAGATCCACAGAATTGTTCCCAAAGTGTCACCTTAATGGCTCCATGTGGGTCCACAAGATAGGCAAACAACTTTTTTTTTTCACCATCCTCTGTCTTCACTTTTTTTGTTGATGACATCTGAATAAGTTTGGCTTTTTTGTGATGGTGATACTTTGATTTGTGTTTGCAGCTGAAATTGATTGGATATTGTTGGCACTTGGCAACTCAATTCTTGAAAAAGGTATTTCTTTTGTAGGCTCTAACAGTACATTGTTATTCATCAGTACTGTGGTTGCATCTCCTGCTCTTTCAATTCTAAAATTTCGAAGTTTTATTGGAGATTTCTTTTTGCTCATTTGATCAAAGTGTTCCTGTTTACTTCCGGAGAAGCAGACTCCTCTTACTAAGCCATGGGTGGTTTGTATGGACATGTCAAAGTAAGATGTCTTGCTACTTTTTTTAGTTGGAGACACATTGTGTAAGAAACCAACAACCTCTTCTTTTTGTTCTTCCATTGCCTGCAAGTGAAAAAGAACCTTTTGAGTTTGTTTCATAGCAATATAATGTATTTCAAAATTTCTAATAACATAGGGAGCACTGCATCAAAAGACGACAACGACTACGACAACTACTACAAATTTAACTATAACAACAAAATGCCAAAAAAAAAAACTTACCTAGGTGAATTATAATTTTTTATTTGTTTACTTATTCATTATAAATCAATCAACAACAGCAGCCTCTACAGACAGGAAGGAATAACACTAAATGAAGGTTGGGGAGTGCAGTATACTGCAAACTGTTTATTAGATGATACTAATACTGAAAATCAAAGTGAACAATTACAAGAAATAGAAAAGAGCAGTGGTTCCAATAAGCAAGATGGAAATGACAGTAATGATAATGATGATCAGTGGACTGAAGATGAAGCAGAAACACCTGCTGGTGTTACTGACACCATGTTGACCAACACACATTATTTTGAAGACAGTTTGCCTCAACGTATTTTAAATGTTGCACCAGGAGAGGGAAACAAACCCTTAAGTATATTCAGAGATCAATATTCTGAAGAGTTAGCATATCCTGGTATATTCCTTGGTCAAAGTCGACCAGAGAATAAAGATAGACTAGCTAATGTTCATTATAGCGACATTTGTAAATCTGAACTAAGACGATCAGATAGGAGAGCTGCTATGTGTGTTGAAAATATATTCTTCAAAACAAAAAAGCTTCAAATGAAAATTCTCTTAAGAAAATCACAAGTTGCACTTAGGAAGTGCAAAGGAAATAGCAAATCTTCAAATGCTGGACAGTTGAAATGTGAAGGAGCAATTGAGCGCTTGATTCATCTTGATGAAGGATTCCAATTTTTGAAAGCATTGATACCTTACAACTGTATGCAAAGATCTGTTCATAGCGATGCTTAGATAGTAATTATCATGAAGAATACTAGTTCTAGGTTTCTCTCCTCTGTATAAAATCACCACAGCTTTCGCACATGTTTGTCTAGTGATAGATGTTTTCACGTGTGTAGTGAAATACATGTATCTTCTGCCAAATCCATTTCGTAAACAGGGCATATTGTATCCCGCATTGGGCTTTGTAATCCCCAAGTGAGACTTAATAATTCCCTTAACGGGCTTTTCATTCCCCAAATGGGGCTCAATTGTTCCCCGAAGGGACTTTGCATTCCCCAAATGGGGCTCATAAAGCTTATTTTGCGTCCTGAGCACTTGCAAAATGGCCGGGCGGTGATCGTGTTGGCGCCGAGAAAGCTTCAGTCGATTTACAAATTCAAAGCATCTTTCAAAACCTTTCACTCGGCCGGAATGACACCCAGTGCGAATGCTGTGGCAAAATGAGAAAACACCTTTTAAGAAATCCATTACAAATATGAAAAGCGAAAAGATCACTCACCTTGCAAGCAATAATACACCCTGGCTTGACGAACGAAATCAGGACGATACGATGCAACCCAAACGTTTTACGAAAGCACATGGTTTGACGGATTTGACTTTGTCCTTTTCTCAGATTTGATTGGTTCCGAGTCTTCCCGGAAATCGGTAGTTCGCCACGACCTCTTTCCTTTGTCCTTTCCTCGTATCCCATTGGATAGATTATTCCCCTGAGGAACGAAGTTTGCACCCGAAAGTATTACAGGCCGAAAGTATTACAGGCCGAAAGTATTACCCCTCCGTGCATACTTCATGTATCGTGTCACCAAATGGAATCCGCAGTGAAACGTCAAGAGTAAATCCGAGATCTTGTCGTATATGAAGTAGCTGGTCGCGCGTTTTACAGCTTATCTAAGTGTCTGCATGCATTATAAATGCAGCAGACACAAAAAACCGTAAAATGTTCCTTGAGTGTTCAAATGTTCTTCAAAATACAAGTTTCTATGGATATTTGCTATAAATTCACAAAACTTCAGCCACGTAACCTCTCGTGACTCAACCTATCCCCTCCCCTGGTACGAAAAGAATTCCATTCTTTCTCTGGGGTATGCTAAGAAGAAATTTACTCGAGCAGGGAATCCTGGGTACTAGCTTCTTCACGCACGTGCAAAGTAAATTCGCCGCCATTTTAGAGGGTTTTGTTCCGCAGAGGAGAATTTTTTATTGAGGGTAAAATGGCAGACAAAGGTAGTGATTCAGGAGAGGAAGAGGATCCAACCATTGCTGAAGATGTTGTTGTCACGAAGTACAAAATGGCGGGTGATATGGCAAACCGTAAGTACAAATAATGCTACTCAGATTCTTCGATTTTCACAAAAGAGATTTCCACGATGAGGTAACTGTACTAGTTATATCATGTCCGACGAAGATCTTCCACCGGTTTTTTAACAACTTCAGCCTTGTTCATTTTGTTCTCGTCTGATATAGATCTTGAAAAACACTTTTTCGCCTTAAGTGCGGAAATCAATAATGTTCTTCCAATATCTTCATTCAATTTTGGTTAAAAATTCTGGAAATTTAAGAATCTTTGTTTATAGTTTGAATACAATTCTCGCAGCATAAACTGTTTAATCGAAGCCTTTGAATAAATCATAAGGCATCAGTGTAGTAAAACGCCCAAAACTATTCATTACTAGATGTTTAGGGTTGTATAATGTACAATCATGTGTGAACTTTGTTTAAGTAAAAATTATAATCTCTATGGGGTGTATTTCAAAAGCCTCTTTAGATACAGAAGTAAGTTACATGATAGCCTGTTTATTTGAAAATATTTTGCATGTCTTGATGGAGATGTTAAGTTAATTTAATGCTTTTTCGCTGGTACTTCCCACAACATTAATATAAATGTCATTTCAGTCATATTTAATTGTCTCCTTACCACTAATATAATACAGTGGTTAAGTAGCTTGAGGAAAAATCTTCAGAGCTTGTCATGTTCAGGCTACTCGTTAATAATCTCAAGAAAATAGAGATGATGGTAAATAACTGATTAAAAATAAAGAGGAATATTTAAGATCAAGATCTAGATGAGGTTCGAGAGGTTTCTTAATTGATAAGACATTTGAATACTTTCCAAACTATAAAGGTGCATTGAACTATCAATAAAAGTTTTGATCTAGAAACCAAATACAGATAATTTCTTAATCTAGCTGGTGATAGATAATTCAAGAATTCTTTTCTAGGGTCTTGGGGCATGCTCTCCCACAAAATATTATTTTGAAATGTAGAGGCTCTGAAGGGTATTTTATTCATTCGTTTGGAGGTTTATGCTCAGCATTATAGCCTTTGGTTGCCTTGGTAAACTTGTGGCAAATAGAGATTTGAAGGGAGTAAAACCACAGGAGAAAAGTTGTCTGTTTTTGAAATTTTTCATAGCAGGGACTGGTTTTAGGTTTTATTAAAGTTAACTGTTCATAACTTTCACACATTGTTCTACAAAAAGTGTGCAGCTCTGAAATAAACATATTGTAGCCAGTTTTTTTTAGCTGGTGGTGGCCGGCACTTAATGAAAACTCCACTCATGCAACTGTGTTAAGCTCTAGCAAGTAGATGTTAGCTCAGAATTTGCAATCACCCTTCACATACTAGTAAATTGGTTGGGATTTTAGGAGAATTTCTTCTTAAAGTTTGCAATAAATCCCTCCATGCACTGAAGCATTATAGTGATAAGTGTTTTACATTTGTATTTCCAAAAGGTATTCTCAAGAAGATCATAGATGCCACAACTGTTGGAACTACTGCACGCACATTATGTCAGATGGGAGATAACCTTATTGAGGAGGAAACTAGCAAGGTTTTTAAAAAAGAAAAAGAACTGAAAAAGGGTAGACTTCATTTTCTTTTTGTTATTATTTTATGAACAACATAGCCTTTTAGTTCTACTGATCCTGGTGGGATTTTGTTTCTGATATTTGTCATGTTAATCAAAGTTCTTCCATACATGCAAGGAATTGCATCTTTTCATTGGGTGGATAATGTTTATGTGAGCTGCATTGACTTCATAAATAAGTTACCTGACAAACAGGGTAGCTTTGTACCTAAAATTTTCTGTGTCGTAACACTTCTTTGCCAGCTGGATTACCAAAGGGTTTCATAGAACAGGAAAGTTCTTCTATTTTGTTACTGTTGGCTTACAAGCCAAAATCTTTGCAATCTGAAGTAGTTAAGGCCTCTTTGGTTTGTGTAATGAACAGTTTCTAAAACTGAGATGAACATCCCTTTTAATTATTAAACCAAGACAGCACACACTCATAGGGGCTAGTGCAACAAATATTCATGTTCATGGCACTTCTGACCTCAATACAGTTGAAGAATTTAGACAAAATGCAGAGGACAGTGAGGTTTGCCTCCATTGAAGATCTTCAAATCCTGTGTCACTTGGAGCCAATTAGATATATTTATTCCTATTTTGTTTATATACTTCATTCACAGTTTGTCTTTTAAGCAGCTTTGTAATTTGTGTTATTGTTTTATTAGGTATTGCTTTTCCAACGTGCATCTCAGTAAACCATGTTGTCTGCCATTTTTCACCCCTTTTGAGTGAGACTGACATCCCCATTAATGATGGTGATATGGTGAAAATGTAAGTTGGAATGTGATTATTATCATCAGTATCAGTGTTCTCCAGAAGCACTGGCAGCTGGCTTTTTCACCAGCTACTTGCATCTCAAGTGCTGGCTACTTTTGTTAGACAAAACCACAGAAAATTATTCTCTTTTTTTTTTTGTAAGACTATTTCAAGTGAAGCTTGAATTTGGGCTTGATTTTGAAGTGCTGGCTACTTTACAATTTTAGCTGATGACTTCAAAATCTGTGGAAAACACTGATCAGCATTCATATCATCTCATTCTCTGTACTCTTCACTATGCATTCCCCTTGGTACTGACAAGGACAATTCATTTAATTACCAAAGCTTGTTAGATTGGCCATCATAACCTTAATTCTCACAATTACAATAAAATATTTAGCAGGATCACTGTGAGGAGGAGAAATTAGATGCTGATCACTCCAAGGGGTTTATAGGATTTAAGAGTTAATATGGCACATACTGTCGCAATTACATATCTTGTATTGCTATGGAGTGTTAAATTATTTTTGGACCAATTGAATGACATCAGCAGCAATTAGAGTCCCATGACTTGGAGCAACACTGAACTCCAAGAACACAATTGATTGACATTGACCTGGTCTTACTGTTTATTTTAGTCCCGCAACATCAGTATCTGTATTCTCCATACTGTTCTTTATACATCTCCTCTGGTACTTAAGGAGAATTTGTTTGACTATCATTAGTTTCTTAAATTGGTGATCATTTCCTTTATTTTCATGACCTTCAGGTTTGATTAAAGGCAGATCCTGTGATGAGAAATTAAGAGCCAGTTACTTGTAAGGGACAAAGGGGTTTAACAATGCTGATGTGTAAATAAAGCCTTGAAATAATGTGTCTTTTCTTTTTGTTCATCTGTTTTTCCCAGAGACCTCGGTGTCCACATTGATGGTTATATTGCAGTTGTAGGACACACAATTGTTGTTGGTGCTTCTAAGGTAATTTAGTTTAATTTTGGGGAAATCAGGATTTGAATTTGAGTTTAATTTGTCATAGAAATGACAGAGTAATAGTGTAGTTTGATTGTCTGGGTGAGTGTAGTCCTGAGAAGGACTGTTGTCAGGAATGGTGACTGACGTTTCGACAACCTGAGCAGAAGTTATCATCAGAGTCAAGTGAAAGGTTGTTGTCAGTTGAATGTACTTAGTCTGGTGAGTGTAAACTGATTGGTCAGTTTTGCTGTGATGTTATTGGCTGTAAGACCCAAGTGGTGTAGGTCAGTCGTGATTGGTCGGTTTGGATCTGTTAGTGAAGTTAGGTTGTTCTGTTCGGTTTGTTTGTAATGTTAATGTTGTGAATGAGTCGTTTGTATGGTGCTGGTAGTGGTTGACACCTGTTGAGGGGAGTCTGTTCCAAGTTAGTAACCCAGCTTTCCAGGGTCAGTCGTTGAAAGTAGTTGGTGCTGTAGGTTAGACATTGCACAGAGTCTCAGTCAATAGTGTGGTTCGTAAATCGGTGATGTTCAGCAATGTGATTGTTGACATCGCCTTTCCTTGTTGCTTGTTTCAAACCATTTACTGTAGAAATGATAGAGTTTGTTATATGATTGTAGGACAACAAAATAACTGGTGCAAAGGCTGATGTTCTTCTAGCAGCACATTTAGCATCTGAAGTAGCACAGAGGCTTGTGAAAGCAGGCAATGAGGTAAGATCGAAAGAGTTTTACAAAGAGAGCTTATGCTGCATAGAAGAGGGATGTTATTTGCTTAGTTATGATAAGAAGATGTGCAAATGAGCCAGAATGTTCTGGAGGATGGTTGTCATGATAGTAAAAACTACATACAAATACTAAGTGACCTTGAACCACTTTCAAAATAATCCAAAAATTGATGGGATTTTTTCCCTAGGTTTTCATTTAGGGGTAAGTAATTATAGGCATTATACTGGTTGTTGTAACACTTGTCTATAAAAATATAAGTTGCAATTCAACAATTTTAATTCTGTTGCAGAATTATACAGTCACAGATCAAATACAGAAAGTTGCCGAGGCCTTTCAGTGCAAGCCAGTCGAGGGTAAGATCATTTTGCTTTAATCACTTTTATGTTTTTTAGTTCTCTTTCAGAAAATCCAAGGGTTTCCCCTAAAGCTATGTAAAGTCTTGAACAAGCTAGAGCTTTGATACTCTTTTTTATTTTCAACAGGAATGTTATCACATCAACTGAAAAGAAACATCATTGATGGTGAAAAGGCAATTATACAAAATCCTAATGAACAGCAAAGGTAATTAAATGACTGGTTCATCTTTCATCCTTGAAGTGACTAAAAATGAATTTCTCCTTACAAAATTCTCACATTTTCAAGTATAAAGTTGATTAGAAGAAAGAAAAATATATTAGAGGATTTAGTTTCATTTAACACTAAATTCTCAGGGCTAAAATCATGAGAAATGTATGGGAATGAAAGACTTACTAGTGAAGTAACAATTATTTTAACCCTTCAACTCTCATGAGTGACCAAGACAGAATTTCTCCTTACAATATCAATACAATATCCACCAGATCAGTGATGAGAATTAAGAAAAATATCAATTTGGGGAAAACAAGTTGATCCAATTCTAAATTCTCTGAACTAACATTATAAAAATTGTATGATTGACAGTAAGGATAATTACAAATTTGGTGTGAGAGTTAAAAGGTTAATAGACTATATATTTATCCTCATGTTCGCTGCAGTGGTCTAATGGTCAGTGCTCTGGACTACAGGTCAAAAGGTCTGGGTTCCAGAACTGCCTAGGTAATTGCGTTGTGAGTGGGGCAAGATAGTTTACTCCCATTGAGCCTCTCTTCACCCAGGGGTGTAACAGGGTGCTGGTGAAATGTCAGAGAAGCCTGAAGAAATGCCAGATGGTAACGTTGTGATGTACTGGCATCCCATCCAGGGGGAAGTAGTAATACTTTTAGTCATTTCATGCTATGGAAACTGGGATGAGCTCCAGCAGGATGTGGCACATGGCATGAGTGTGGACTTTTTTTTTCCTTTTTTGTTAGGAAAGACCATGCCAAGTGTGAATTTGCAGTACATGATGTTTTCGCAGTTGATATTCTAATTAGCACAGGAGATGGTAAAACCAAGGAGAAAGATACACGAACAACAGTGTACAAAAGAACTGAAAACAACTATCAGTTGAAAATGAAGGCCTCTAGAGGTTTGTTGTCATATCTTTCCATTTTTTTTTCCTGAATCAGAAGAATAAACAAATGTTTTCTTGAAGCTTGTGAGTTTTTGAGATTTTCTCTTCTTAAGGGAATGCTTCCTATCTTTCTTGCAGCTTTTTACAGTGAGGTGTGTAACAAATTCACCACCATGCCATTTACTTTAAGGTACTACCACATGTTCTGTTTCTGTGATTATCATTTGATTGACGCCAGGTAAAGTTTGGTGACTGGGTTTTGATCAAAGAACTACTGTGTAGTCACAGGCTACCTTCCTCCTTCCTTGTTTTCAATGTTCACCGTCTCTCGAGAGACGTGTGTTGCCAATTGACAAACATGAAAGCCCACTAAAAGAGGTCAAACATCATGTTTCCATCGGAATTGAAGCCTGTTTCCCATGGCAACGACACAATTTGAAAGTGAAAACCTGGTTGTCAAACTTCCGTATCACCTTACTCAACTAAAAATCTTTAAAATTTGTGAATTGATATCAAAAACATCAGATGGCTATCATGAAAATTGGCAGAGGTTTTAGATGCATGGTATCTTGTCATTTTATGCTACTAATCTACCCGCTGCACTCTATTTACAGAGCTTTTGAAGATGAGAAAAAAGCAAAAATGGGTGTCGTAGAATGTTGCAAGCATCAACTTCTAGAACCGTTTAATGTCCTATGGGAGAAAGAAGGTCAGTAGAGAAGACAGAATGTCAATGTCCCAGTCGTGTTCAGAGCTCAGAGAGAGATATTTTTTTAGACAAAAATTTGCTTATAGATGACATTTATTCTTAATTATTTTTATCCCATATTGAGACACCAATATTGAGTGTGATTCCTTTTTCATAGATAACTCTAATTTATTTTGACACCTAATTTTTTCATATTATTCCTGGCGACATATTAAAATATGAAGCTGAACCCTCCTCACCTTCCCTTCCCCCCCCCATTCTCACCATCCTCACCCCTTCCTCCCCTTCCCCTTCCCTTTCCATCAGTTTTCTCTCACAGCCTGCTGCTTTTTATCTTTTATTCCAGGAGAATATGTAGCCCAGTTCAAATTCACACTTTTAATCATGCCTAATGGACCAATCAGGTTAGAAATAGCTTCCATATATCTCCATGTACAATTTGTGATGAAATAAATTTCACTTGAATAGTTACTTGAAAATCATATAAAGCCATGATCCCTGCAGGTGAGCTGCAATTTAAGCAAGCTGGAAAAAAATTCAGGCTCATCAGGAATCACACCCATGCTGTTACAGCTACTGAAACGTTTTTTTTTTTCTCCCTAGGATTACGCAGGGACCTTTTGACCCAGAAGTAATACAATCAGAGTACTCAATAAAAGACCAAGAGATTAAGGTGAGGTAATCTCCAGGAGGCTCTGCATCAAAATGATTTAAATATTTTTGTTGTTTTTGTGCGAGTTTGGCCATGACAGAATTTCACAGTTTTTGAGTGACAGAATTTCTCTAAACAACATTACTACTATATTAAGACAAGTGATTACAGCAAAGAAAAGTAACAATTAGGGGGTTATTACTTGATCAAATACAATTTCTCCATACTATTATCATGAGAATTGCAGGGTGTGCAGTAGGGAGAATTGCATATAAGATATGGTTTTTCAATGAGAGAGTCCTCCATATTATGAATGATTCATTTTGTATTTTTGAAGTTTGTCTGGTTTGAATTTCATGAATGTTTAACTCTTTAAACCCTAAGAGTGACAAGCATCTAAATTCTCCCAACAATATCACCCCTGAATCACAAACTAAGGTCATGAGAAAATAAGGAAACATTCACCTGGGAAGGAACCTTTTGATTGGCAAACAAATTCTCCCTGTCAGCACCTTAGGAAATGTATAAAGAGCAGTGTGGAGAATATGCATACTGATGTTAGGGTGTAAAGGGTTAAGAGAGAAAAAAGAACATGATGTATTCAATTGTTTTGTCATAAATTCTTTCTTTTTTTTTTTTTACTTCCCAGGACATACTTGCAACATCAGCAAGCAGGAAAACTCAAAAGAAGAAAAAAAAGAAGGCAAGTAAACACTTTTATAGCTCTTTTGCATGATGACATTATGTACTGAAATTTCCCTTGACAGCTCTGTGTTCATCACATTTCATCAGTTTTTTTATGCTTAATCACAGATTGGCTTTTTTGTCTATTCTTTGTGCAGGCTTCAACTAAGGCATCCGATGCAGTGGTAGCGGAAACAAAGAATGGTGGAGATGCTGGTGACTAAACAGTGACTGTTTGTTGTACATGTACCCTGTTATGTAAACTTTTCCTGTCTGGTTTTCAGCCATGTTGCATTGCTGGACATGTTCCTCTAAGTCAAGTGGAAGTGTTTCTAAAGTGCAGAAAATGTTATTCTGGTCCAAGAGTCTGTCAAGTTGCATATTGAATGTCTACACTTAGAGAACAAGTGTTGAATAAAATTACCTTTTTTTTCTTGCTGAAGAGAACTACTGTGTGGTGGACCGTCATCTTTGTTAGGTCTATTAACAGATATTTCACTCCAAAAAAGTCCCTTTACTGGTTTTTTTTTCGTCTTTGTGTCATATGAAGCAAACACAAACTGTTCTCAAAGTATCGGGGGTTGGTTGTACACAGGCTAGGGGCCAAGTACTACCATTGGAACAGGATGCCAGCCCATCAAGGGGCCTCCTTCCCTAACGGGTTTGAAAGAGGGCATACATACACATGCTGTTACCATTTAGTGGAAGAAGCTTTGAGAGATCAAAATATCCTATCCATCACTGATAAAAAGTAAAGCCTTTATATGGGCCAAAGTGGCCCATGGGGCCGGTGCTTAACTCCAGTTTTCTTAGCATGAAGCAGCTAGGAGTGCTGCTACTCCCCCCTGGATGGGATGCCAGTCCATTGAAGGGTTACCCCTAGCACATTTGCTGGTACCCATTTGTACACCTGGGTGAAGAGAAGCACTTTGAGAGTAAAGTGTCTTGCCTAAGAACACAACACAATGACCGCAGCTGGGGCTCAAACCCAGACCACCCGATCCAGAGTTGAGCACACTAACCATGAGGCCACTGTGCCTCCACATCCATCACTGATAGGCAAAGGCTCTTTGTTGTGACCTTCAAAGACACAGTACTGCACAGGACTCACCTGACCACTCCCTATCACTTTTATCTTCCTCTGTCCCCCCCCCCCCCCCCCTCCTCTACCTTGAACCCCTTTGGTGATGACTATACATAAATTAAACCATGACAAGAAGCTTGAATTACACTTTTATTGTGGCTATCAGTACATTACAAAGATCACTCCCTTTTATTTTCTAATTGTACTACAGCTTTTCAAAAATAATATTCTGTAGTTTTGAGTAGTATAAAAATATACAGTACACAGACAAACATCATTCTTAATTGATTTGTATCATAAATTTGACCCAAACTCGCCCTGCTTGCAGGGAAAAGTGAAAACCTTGAAAACTCTTTTTAAGCTGTCATTAACCCCTTACACCCTAACATCAGTATGCATATTCTCCATACTGTCCTTTGTACATTTCCTAAGGTGCTGACAAGGAGAATTTGTTTACCAATCATAGACTTCTTTTGTTGGTGATCATTTCCTATATTCTCATGACCTTAATGGATGACCCAGGGGTGATTTTGTGGGGAGAAATTAGATACTAGTCACTCTTAGGGTTTAAAGGGTTAATGTCATTCTTTACAAGTTGTATTGAGGAAAGAGGAAATTGCAGTGAAGTGAGCCGCAATCTTGTACAATGACCTGAACAAACACGTGGAAATTTTCAAGAAAATTTGTCATTGCTGTTGTTATGATATGAACAGAGCTTGAGGTATAGCCATTTCTGAGATGTAGAGGACTGATGGTGGATGAAAGTTCTTTTCCCTTAAGCAAACGACAAGTCTTAAAGAAAAACCATGAAAACAAGGGCTTTGCACCAAAAGTAACAGTAGTCACATCATCCATCCACTTGCCATCTGCATCTCAAAAATGTCTGTGCTTAAGTTCCCTGACATTTTGTGCCCACAAAATGCAAATACAAACTGGTTTAACTTTGGCATCTATACAGTTACATGTGTTGGAAGCACTGCATAGCAAAAGCTTTGTTGCCAAGACATAAACAAGGGCCTTCAAGCCTAACCACTTGCATACATATCTAACATTACATTGATTGGTTAGAATGACCAACAAACTTTGAAATACAGAAAGCTTGCAAAAAGACACTGGCAAACAACTAAGAAAATAATATTGCTATTTATCACCTAATTACATAATCATAGCATCCTGTGTTGTCAAAATTGGTTTCAATGCAAAACCTAAGCAAAAATTGCTTTACTCACAGTGTTATGTTTGACATGACATAACAGCCCAAGAGCCTTCCTCATACGTCTAGCACAAGAGAAAGCAATTAGGCATGTTAAAGCAAAAACCATGACATATCAATGAAATCCTGAAGATTGCGACACTCCAACTGCTATGTAGCTAGTCTTCATTAGGCCCTTCTGCCTGAGGGAGACTTGTAACATAGCATCATAAGATCACCATCTACTCTTGATGGTGACTGAATTTTGAGACAAATGAATCATCATTTGTTTTTTATCTTTCCAAAATGAACAACCATATCTATTACAATTCTCTGGTTCCCAGGTAACACTTCAGAGCCTCCACTATGGTTCTCCACTTAACATAAACCTAATACTAAGAAGTTAAAGGTTTCTATTTAACCTCTACTTTATCTTGACTAGAAAAACAGGAAAAATCGGGTAGCAAAACTGAAGAATATATATATATATATATAAAGATTTCTGCACTTAAATTTTAATCTACAATACAAAATATCACACTAGAGAAATTCCCTTTGAGATTTTCTTTAAACTAGAAATGCTTTGCATACTAATGATCCCTGAGAATGTTATACTGTAACAAAAATACCATCATTAGCATGAACTTCAATAGGTACAAAATTAGATGTAAAAGTATATAAACCTACATTTAAAAATTAGTAGACATACAAACTTGTTTCACATCAAACTAGCAATCATATAATACATTATGTCTTCATGTGCAAAGATAAACACTTTCTATGTATAGAATAGATTATAACCCCTACCTTTGAAAACTAGCACTCAACCATTATCATCAGTAAGCTCAAATTATCAGACAAGCAAAAATATAGTGTTTAGAATGTGTTTGAAGATTTGAATTTCAATCTGCTCAATTTTTTTCAATTGAAGAAACTGTAGCCTCTATATACACTTCATTCCAAGTAACAAACAAAATCAATGTCTTGGTTCAAAATTGATTAAAAAAATTAATAACACCTGCATTCAAACAAAAATGTTTCCTAGGTTCTTAGAGTATTGTGATCTACGTATAAAATGTAAGATGGCATAGTTTAGCATTTCAATAATATGTTGCAAAAACCAATACAGTGAATGGCTCTTCACTGCATCTTCTTGTTACCACAAATTAATGACTGAAGAGGAAATTTTCAAGGGCATTTAAAAGTCATTCACAATCGTTCCAGTACGTCTTCAAAGTCACACAATTCTTACTCTTGAAATGTTTGTCATTAAAATTTACTTAAGTTTTCGACTGATAAGTTTTGAAAGACCAAATACCCTTACAAATGTAATGATAAAAATAATCCAAATTTTTATAAAACAACAATTTCTACAAAACAAGAAATAAAACCTGAGAAATCTTTAGGGGTTAAAAACTTCTTTTTTGTCAATCTTGTCATCAAAGCAGTAATACTTCAGGTAAGCAACACAGATCTCAGTGCTTTGGTCAACATCACCTTCCTAAGATTGTACTGAACCTAAGATGTTGTTTGTTGAAGTCTTTTTGGCATCTGTTTCACCAAACATATGTAACTGAAGCTTTGGAAACAAGATGAACTCAATACCTTCCGCCCAAATCAGAGGAAGTTGGGAGAATGACATAAATCTGTGTAACTAAATTATTTGACACAATAAGAAATTTCAGAACTTTTTCATATGTAGTGGCATTAAAACAAAAAAGAAATGTTAAATTCTTTAATTAAAAATCTGAGGAGTACTTTAAATTCAGCTAGTGGTGTTGAGTTCTAAGGAATTACATCTCCCTTTTAGGGTGTTCATGTTCGCATTTCTCAAATATGCACAGACATCGTCAGCTTCATTTATTGATTCAAGGAAGGGAATTAATTCCAAAAGCTCCATGTCTGAAAAGTCGTCAAACCAAGACGCAACTGGAATCTGGGAATAGCAATAAAACAATCAGTTTAAACAGTTGAACATTTATTAAAAGTAATTATTCTTTCACAAAACTACACAATGTTTTTATGAGTATCTTGTAAAAAGTGATCGAACACCTTTCTTTAGTAAGTTGCTTGGTTAGAAAATACATAACAGGGCAACAGATGATTTGTTTTCACCCTTCCACTCCTGAGAATGACTAACATCTTACTTCTCCTTACAATATCACCCCTGAATCACACTTTACAGTCATAAGAATAACAGAAATGATCACAGACTAAAGAGGCTCTTGATTATTAAACAAATTCTCCTCCTCAGCTCCAGCAGAAATTCATGAAGAACAGTGGAGAATATGCATACTGATGTCACAGCATTGAGACAAGTTATGAATTGCCAAAAACATCAACACTTACTGCATTTTCAGGATGAAAACTGTATGATGCTGGTGAATTATCCACAATTAGGACCTTTTTTAAATCCCTTCCTAGTTTACTAAGATCCTGTGTAAACAACAAATCCACAAAAAATTAGTCATGAAAAAGAGGGGATTGATTTATTTTAAACACTGAAGTAAAGCTCAAGTTTTGAGAATTAGCCCTTTATTCACATAAAATGTCAGCTTTAGAATCTCTTTACAGTGGTCAAATTATTAAAACCAAATTATCTTGTTATATCCTTCACCTATGCAGCACTGGCATTTCTTGCAATACTTATTCCCTTTATCAATATTTTGTGTTGGGTAAGGACATTAAAATAAGGAGAACAACGTGAAAGTGGAACTTCTAGAGGGCATACCTTCACATAATTTCCTCTATGAAACACACAAGACTCTCTAAAGAGCCTGGCTCGAAATGATCCATACTTGTCCAGCAAGTCGGCGACTGGATCAGCATACTACAAAAGCACACAACGTGTTAACCCTTGAACATCCAGGAGCAAAGAGAATGTAATTTCCCCTTACGATATAAGTACACTACCAAGCAGGCAGGTGAAGAACCAAGACACAAATGTCTTCTTGGAGATACCACTTGATGAAACACCAAATTCTCAGAACAAGTAAAATAAGTAATGTATGGCAGAAAGTTGAGGAGAATCTTTGTTGATATCTTAACAGTGAAAGGGCAAACAAACTGTTATACATAGGTGATCAACCCTTACAATTAATATTTTACTTTAAGGAACAATCTCAAAACTTTAAGTCGTCACACGACAACTTTGACATTCACCCTTTCACTCCAAGGAGTGACCAAAATGGAGTTTATCTTAACAACAAGCATTAACAGGATGAGAAGAAAGAAACAGATGAAAAAAGGAGATGTTGCTTGATTTAACACCAAATTCTTCACGCTCAAATAATATGATATGTAGGGTGTAAGATGGCAACCTATACAGACATCAATGCGAGTAACATTTTCTTGCAGGCAAGTGAAAAGTCTGGTCTAGTCATCACCTCAAGGACTATATTTTTGTATGTTTTCACCATTTGACTCCCAAGATCTCATTGGTAATTCTCCCTACTATCTGGCATAAAATACTTGATTTCAATTTGGAGAATTTGGTATTGGATCAACTTGTAGTTCCCTAATTGAGTATTTTTTCTTCATTCTTCTTACTAGTCTGCTTGATTCTGTGTTAATATTGTAAGGAGAAATTCTGCCTTGGTCACTCATGAGAGTTAAAGGGTTAAACCAAAAATGAGATGAGCCAAGTTCAAAAGCACCTCATATCGTCTAGTTTTACTTCTGTTTTGACAAAAAAAAAATGCAAAACTTGGTTTAACCCTTTAACTCCCAAGATGTCATTAGTACGTCTCCCGACTGTCTGCTATACAAGTCTTCTGATGTGACTTCTGAGAATTTGGTATTGGATCAACTAATAACTCCCTTATTGATACTTTTCTTGGTTCTCATCTCTTGTCTTCTTGATTTTGTATTGATGTTGTAAGGAGAAATTCTGTCTTGGTCACTCATGGGAGTTGAAGGGTTAAGTTGACATCAAACATCTCCATCTCTTGACACACATTCTGCCTTCATGATTGCAGTTTGTTCTTTTTAGTACTAGCTCATTACAAAAAGTTACTGCATTTTTTACACATTTTTGTAGAATCCCATCAGTTGTCCCTACAGGTTTATACAGATGCAGCTTTAAAATTAGCCACAAAAAATTTACTGCTAGCGACCAATTTTCTGTCACTTTGGTACCAAAAGGGGACAAAGGAATTTTTTAATTTTAGGCCCTGGTATGTGTAGACAGTGAGAATCGATTTAAAGATCTCAGACGTAAAATGGACGGAGTAAAAATTCAATGATACGTATTCTTTTGTCTCACCTTTGCTAAGCTAGCAGTAAAAAGAACGCATTCAAACAACTCCCCAACTCTGCGAAGAAACTCGTCAACATGAGGCCTCTTTAACACATAGACCTGTGAACATATTGCAAATTTACACTAGTTAAAAAACTTAGTTCAAAAAAGTTCTTTTAGGCAACAAATATCCTTGGGATGGGCTTCTATGCTTTAACACAACTTTGAAAAAATTGTAAAAGAAAAACAAGGATTTGACAAACCTGATGAATTGTGCCATCAATCTCCACAGGAACAATGAAATCTGCATTATGGACAGGCTTATATGAACAATAAAAAAAAAAAAAGAATTAGAGATTTAAATACTGCAAATTTTTTTTAAGTATAAACTTTCTTGAAAAATTTTACGTTGTCCCTGTTTGTAAACTATGAGGAAATAAATGCTCTATTCCCACTTCTATACAGGCTATAAGTTAATGTGAAATGATGTAATATTCCAAATTTTGCTTTTACCGAAATTGGAGTATGTTTGCAAATGTGTTTCTTTCATTCGAGGGTGAACTTTCTCCAAACTGCTAGCTAAAAGTTTATATAACTTCATATATGGTACCCAATAACAACTTATATATAAAAACAAATTAAACATGATTTTGGCATTATACTCTCTAAGACACCTTTGATTAAAGGCTAATATTTATTACCAACAGATTTGCCCATCAATAACTTATATTTCCAACCTGTCAATTTAGCATTAATCTCCTTAATTAAAAAAAAAACCCTGTAATAATAAAGATATTTTTTAAAAAAAATCATAAATCTTCAATTTCCAGGGTGTTTAGTACGCATCAGAAAAGGGAGAATTGTCTAGCCACTAAGCAGAATTGTACACCTAAATTCAAAAGCTATTTCTTGGCAATACATCTATAATATTCCCTTCTTGCTTTTAATTTTTCTCCTCTCTTTTCATTTGTTGTTGATGACCCTGAACAGCCTGATAAATTTAGTAAATATTTACCTTAAATGAACTGTGAACCAGTGTTTCATCCAAGTCTATTACAATACATTTTTTGTGCATATCCTGATGTCTGACAGCAGGAAGTAGATATTTACAGGGCTGAAGAAGGAAATAACAGAAAAAGAATAAACAATTTTTATTAAAATCACATAAAGCTTTGAGGACTTTTCGTTGAAACCTCCATGTAAATATAAAACCGGATCTATATCATAAGTATCTCGAGTTTGTCCTAATTGACAAATGGTACCATTTTCAATTCAAATAAGCGACAAGGAATTAGAAATTCATTTACGTGAGTCAATATCTAAACATACCTTCATAAGACAAACATGTACTCGAACATGACAAAAACTTAACTTTAAAATAACTTATTTATGAGTATGACCATCAATCACATCATGAAATATAGACAAAGGCAGTTTTGGTAAGAAATACTGGTGGTTCAAAGTCCAAAAATCTCACTCATACATGTAATTGGGCAATTTTAAATGACTCCCTCAGGGTTTATTGAAATCTTGGGAATCTTGAAAGGTTGTCAAAGAAACCAAACATGAAATATTTTAAGTCTCCATCTAAAAATCAAGGGCAGAATGGAAAGCAAAATTCTTGCAAAAATGGTAGGGTTACAATAACAATATTTCATACAAGTCCCTGTGCCAAAACAACAAAGACAAATACAGTGCAGCTTTTTACAACTTAACCCTGACTACAAATTTATTCTCCTAAATGAGGCATAAACAGTGTCATGAATATACCTTTCCTATGCAAAAACGGCCCTTCTAAAAGTTAAAAATTAATAGCTGGATCTGTACACATTTTCCAAAGCGCAAATTAAATCAACACTGAAAATTATACAATACAATTAACGACTGTCTATCTGCTATGAATTCTCATCAAATATTGATGTTTCTTTGCTTCATAAAAGACTCGTTAATTTAGCACTGAATTTACACAGGTCTTCCTTCTTTTTGGTAAAAAGCTCAACTATTTCTTTTTACAGGAAATAGTTTCAAGTTCTTATACTAACTTATCCCATCCGATCTGGAGTTAAAGGAAGACTTCTGTGTTTAGTAAAGCAAAGGAGGGCACTTAAAATCTTTAATTTGTTATCTTTTGGAAATTTGCGTCAATCGAGTTCGTTTTCCGTGCACGCACATCTTCTATTTTTCGGAATTCATGCAAACAGTAAAAGTACGGAATGTTCCTTGTTCGTGGCCACAAAAAAAGGAGCACGTCGTATCCATTGTAAGATTTATCAAGCACTATTTCCCCTACGAAACCGATTCCGCAGTTAGGTCGAAATAGGTGCTATACTGGAGAAGAAATTAATTCTAAGAGTTTACGTCAAACACAAATAAGTATACCGAAAGACAACGGCCATGATCGTGCTATTATATTGAGAGTACTTCAAGAGTAAACCCGACATTTTCTGTCTCCTTTCGCCTAATTCTAGTATTTAGCAACGTTTAAATACCTTTAGAGGAGAAGATTAAAAGAAAGCAAGCGCGCGGTAGAAAAGAACGCACAGAGAAGCCTTTTGAATTTCAAAACGCACGTTCCTTCAACGAAACAGACAAGTTGGAATGTCAACATGACGGAGCCCTTGAGAATCTTATTAATTCGGATATTAAATTCACACCAAAATGGCAAAAAGTACACCTACCAAACAGCTCTATTGCAAAGCGAAGTCTCGCAAGTGACGGAATAAAAGAAGGAAAAAGGGGTTGCTGTTACGCAATGATCCGAAGATACGAATTTATACCCTTGAATTGCTCGAAGAACGACATTTGCTAGTATGCACAAGCACCTACGGAAATGGGATCGGAGATCGCTTTCAAATTAAACGTTGTGTGGATAACTTGAAGCGAACACCTGCACGATAGATGTGTAAAACAAGAGTATCGATCTCTATTTAGAAATGCTAACCTTTGGCTCTTTTTCTTCAGTGGAGATACTAAGCGAGTTTTCATTGTGATTGTGGTTGTGATTCGTGTGGGTGACAGCAGTTCTGTATGGACCTCCGGCAGCAGCAGCAGACTGGGCGCCAAAACAGCAAAAAAATGAGGAAAAAATGTTCCGATTCCTTGGCTTTTTGGTGACTGAAGAAGGTACTGCAGAAGAAGAGAAATACAAAGTTGAGCAGAGTGAACAATCATGCTCAGATGGTGAAATCGAGGTTGACAAAATGCTAAACGTCATTTGCAAGCCAACAACTAACTCAATTGATAAAATCAAAAGCTAGAGTAACGATTTTCACTGACTTGATTGACCACAAAGAGAGACTTTTGTCGCAACTTGAAGTAAAAGAGCTCGAAAAGAGATAGTTTCGGACTATTCTCTATAGGTGAAGTTAAGCTTACCACGCTAACAAAACCTTGTGATGCAAAATTCGCGCCGGTAACTGCGTACTTGTATCGAAGCAAAGTGAGCAATATGGAAGTCGTAAAAGCGTACTCACGTTTGTTTTGTGTGTAGGGGCTCACTTCTGCCGACTCATCGTCCTTGTTAACTTGCGTTATAATGGACGTGCTGTCCATCGACAACGCTTTTTAAACAGAGCCCAAACTTTCCTTCTGTAAAACACAATGACTGCTCATTTGTTTTCATCCAAATCTTCTATTTGCCTTCTGTTGAACAGTTAGAAAATTATGGGCTGTCATATACCGAGGAGGCTTTGATTGACATAGAATGCACAATGCATACTTGTGATTGGACCGCCTATCCTGATATTTAGCATAATTTGAACTCTTGCTCAATTGATCACTTTGAAATTTAAAACCAGCTGGCAAGAACTCCTTTAACCAAACAAAGTAAAATAACAAGCAAAATCAAAATGGTTGTTGACATAACAGGACTGATACCGCGGAAAGTAAAATTCACGCGAAATACGTTGTATTTAACGACTTTAACGAGAAATTTTTTTTTTAAACAATATTCAATGGGTACCTTGGATTTCAAATGAATAATTCAAGCTGTCAAGGTAGCGTCCAATATAACTCCAAAACCCATGAAAACGTTCTGCACACGAGTTCCACACACTGAAGAGTGCAGCGACGTGCATCAGCCATTTATACGCCTGCGGTTTTACAGGTGAGTTCTTAGGTCCTCAAAGTTGTTGAAACAACTTTACCCGCCATAGCCTCTTTCTCATCATGATTAAGTTAAGATTAATGTGACAATTTAAAAATTATAAAAGGATAAATAAATTTGAAAAAAACACAATTACATAACCGAGATTGTTGACCACGGTCGCTATCGAATAGAAATCTCATCTTGAGCACAAACAATACTAATAATTACTGGATAAAAAACAAATCAACCAAGCAATCTAATCTTATCTCCCCCACCATTTGCATCGTAAAATAATCCTATCAGTTTTGACTAATGATTTGTGTCTGCCAGTCACCTGATGCAAGGTGGAAGGAAAGTCCTTCCTAGTATTTGCAAGGGAAAAGAAAAAAAACAAAACAAAAAACAAGCGAAATCTGTCTACCATGAAAGGATGACATACTTGTAAAATCTAATGTTTATTAACCTTTACAACATTTTATATTCTTCATATTAACCTTTTGAATAGCTCAAATTGACGAAAGTGCTACTGTCATTGATGAAGAAAAAATTCTCAAAATGCAAGGGGAATGAATGCATGAATCACCTAAAAATACTTCGATTAAACTATAAGTTAAGTTATAAGGGTTCAGAAACAAGAAATGGGGATTTCCAAAATTAACCTTACGTAGGCCTTGACTGATGTAGATTTAATTTCAGTTTCAATGCTCAAAATGGAATTTTCGAATAGATCGGTTCGGCCTATTCCCAGACTGCTTGCTAAGCACCGAGAAAATTTTACACAACTGAAGAAAAACGACTCAAAACTAAAAACAAACATATGACAAAATAGGACAAAGAGAAAAAGAGAAGAAAACGAGGAAGATATTGATTTTACAACCCCCAAATGAATAAACAAAAAAGAAGAAAAGCTCATATGGCTAATCATTAAGGCTATTTTGTAAAGTTGGTCATGATTTTTCTTAAAATAGGGAACGTCTTCAACTGAATGAATCGCTCGACAGTACAGTTACTTCAGCGTATCTGCGGTGGATGGTTTAGTTATTCATTGTATAGCGATTTTCTTAGTGGACAGCATTATTGGACCTTCACACAGATGGAGCTAAAATACCGAACGGCCTTATCGACTGGACAAGGACTGGGAAATTCGTTCCAGGAGATCTGCTTTGAAATAGTACGTCAGGTGAATTAAAAATCAAGATAGCATTTGACTATCACTTCACTTTGACACATTTACGTGACTTATTCGTTACTAGATTAGTTTCGACCGTAACTGAATAGCAGACTTAAAGATATACAGTAATGGTTTAGAAATGGGTTAGATTTGCCCTAATTCGATCATAGTTTGCTTTATTGAAAGATTTCCGCGGGGTAAGATCCAGAGAAGGTAGAATTTTCTTTTAAACTGGGAATAAATATCAGGAAAAAAAAACGGAACAGGTAAATGGGAGGAAATAGAAATAGAGAAGTAAGAATGAGATTTTTAATAATCCAAAATATCCTTGTAAGACCCCGTAAGCATGCCCTCTAATTAATCTTTCAGAACGATGACATTTCATGACGACGGAGTTTTAACTTTAGGCTTTGTACCGAGTAAGCACGTTTAAGAGTCTTCTTATTTTGTCTAACAGTTTTAAATGAAGACACTGAGACCAAGATAAAACTACAGTGAATGGACACGTAAGCTCGAAACAAACCTAGCAGGTTTTTTAAAAAACAAGTCTATCAAACAAATGTTCGTGTTTCCAGTAAAATGACTCTACGGGAGGTAAAGGAAGAAAAAGAGTTTCATGGCGTGCATCTACTTAAAAGAGTGCTCTTCCATGCCAGCCGCCATGGAGAGATCCGGAAGAGGTTTGTCAAATCCTTCTCTTGTTTTTAAGAAATACGTAAGGATACTCCCCTTGCCCTGAAAGTTAAATGAAAAGCGTGATTACAGTGTATCGTCATTCTGGACAAAGCACGTTGAGTTGGGATTTTAGGTTATCGTAAGCATCGAATGTACAACTTATATTTGCTGCTTGAGAGTACTGATAAGACTACTCGCTAACTTATGGCAGGTCGTCGTTTGAGGCAGTTACAAATGTTTCTACGAACATTTGAACACAAACTTCAGTATGCATTCGATCCTAATTGCTTCATGCCAAGGATATTCTGATAAGCTCTGGCAGTAACAAAGCACTTGCTCTAAAAGATTTGATCATGTAAAATAGATAAAGGCTCCCTTACCTTCATTTCAACGAAACCTCTTTCTTGCAACACGTATCCACCAAGTTTATCAAGAACTTCTTTGCATTCAGGACTCACGTGAATTCGAAGAGCTGAAAAATCGTAGGGCTATAGTAAGTGAGGGAGTCAAAGCCGGAAAGGCGGACTGAAAATGGATTGCCAATAATTTTGAGAAAGGGATAACCAAACTGCGGAAATGTTGAAAGCTACTCCATAGATAAATGAAATTTGAGTTAAATTTTTTATGTGACCAAGGTACACGCTTATTAATGGAAACTGACTGAACGAGAGTGTCTGGGAAGGGAACAAGAAGATCAAAAATGTCATTGGTTCCAAAGAATCATGTACAACTGCTCAGCTCAACGCTTGTTAGTTAGATCATACATGCAAAATCTTTCTTACCCAAACAACCTAGGCCCTATATGGAACCCTCTTCATTGTAGGGAATAACACTGAAGCCAATTTAAGATTGAAATCAGCGCGAAAAACGGAATTTCCTAGAATTCTCCCGTGTAAGTGTAAGGCATGCTGAGAAGCTCTTCCTTACCCAAACCGGAAGACTCCATTCTTGACGCATAGTTGACCGTGTCACCAAACAGGCAATACCGCGGCATTTTGAGACCAACAACCCCGGCAACCACGGGACCTGAAAGGAGGCATTGTTTAAGTCAGAAACACAAATAATTTCCTCATACCAAATATTTTATTTTTCTTTTGTTAACTTTTCCAGGGTTCCATAAGGGCGACGCTGAAGTGGTGATAACTCCCATGTTATGGTGATAATTATTTTATAACTTGGCGTGCCCCTTAATGTCAGCAAGACGCTAATCTCAATATCCTAGAAACTGAAGATTCTTACATGGAGCCTGATGAGATAACGCTAAAATTCAAACAAAGCAAAACCGGACCAAATTGAACCATTTCTACAATATGTTTCGTACACTTAGAAACTCTAGGACTTTCTCTCCTTTACAATTGAACATCAGTCATTTTCCTTTTTTTCTGTTCTTGTGTATCCTTTCGTCTTTTTATGTTTTATTTCTTCATTTCCGTTTTATTTCCAGTGTAATTAAATTAAGTTAGTTAGGAAAAAAAATTGTCTCGCCTCGATTAGCATTTGCTATCTGCGGGTCAAAGAAATCTCTTGTAAATATGTATGAAAATAAAAATGAAAGTGTGAAGACCTGTGAAGTGTGAATCATGTACATAGGACTGATCCTCACATTGGAAGATCCCACTAAACCCTTGTGCAAGTCAATTTATGAACTCATGACCTGGAATGAAGCTAAGTTAGAAGGTTTCTAACCTGTATGAATCCCAATTCTGAGCTGTAGCTGCCTTCCTGGAACATGCCTTATTTTAAAAGTAGTCATTGCTGACAGCAAATCTAAGGACATGTTACTGATCTCGCCAGCATGTCTGATTCCATTCCTGTTTGGCAGCCCGGAAGCGACCACGTAGGCATCACCAATGGTCTCAACCTGAGTTATAAGCAATGGATGTATAAACGTGTTCTCCTGTCAAGGCATTCTATTAAAGTGACTCAACTACCACTGAGTTTTACCTTGTTTACGCTGGAGACGACATCTTAGTGTTAAGTCATGTAACATGTCTTACCTTGTAGACATCATGCATGTCAATGATTTCGTCAAAGCAAGTGTACAGGTCGTTAAGCAAGTCAACAATCTACAAACACATAAACCAAAAAAAAAGTATTTTCTAACAAATCGATATCACGAGGTCGACTTACGACATTTATATTCGGTAGCATATGTACCTGTAAGGGCGTGCTCTCAGATGCTAGCTTAGTGAAACCAACGATATCACTGAAAAAAAGTGTAGCGGAATCAAAGGTTTCGGCAGTAACAGGCTGCCCTCTCTTAAGTTCCTCTGCCACAGACCTGTCATCAAACAAAACCAAACAAAGAAGTAAGTAGCATGAGAGTGAATACAAAAGATGTCATCGTAAATACCATCAAATATCAGCGACCGTGAGCACAGGTTGTAAGACTGGGTTAGGGAATACACAAAATGGCGGCGTATTTGGATCTTCGGAAGTAGTTGAAATTTTCCACAGAGATAGTCAAGAATATATAAGTCAAATTATGGAAAGAATAAAAAGTAAGATTTCTGAACAGCCTGAAATCCAACCAAACAAAGCCTTCATCACCTCTTGGAAACCATAGCTGGATTGGCACACGCCATGCGTATACCTGACACCAAATGTATATCAAGGTACCGTGAATGTTGACTGTTGCAGGGTAAGGCAGCAGGCTTATTCCTTATTCTTATATGAATTGTATTGAAAAAGTTTGCATGGTACTTAATTCTAGGCAGTTTTAAGTGCAATTTACTTTGGAAGCATCCTGTACAAAAGCTCGTCAGTCTTTGCTTTCTCAGCTGCAAGCTCAGCTGTTCGCTCAGCGACAATGTCTTCCAAGTGATCTGTGTACTTTTCCATCATGGTGATCATAGTATCCATAATGTTGAAGTCCCTGAAGAAAACAAGCAGAAATTACAAATTTACGAATAGTGTGTCTCTCGTAAGCCATCATCATAAATGCCTCAAACCCAAATTCTGAAATTACTGACAATACCTTACACTTCTTTGTCTTTAAAATGTGTAAAGCAGAGACTTAGTGTTTTGAGATAGATGTAACAAACGTGTGTAATGAAATTCTAATTACAACAGAAACCTTCCAAACTCGGTCATCTGTTCACTTACTTTCCTTTGTTCATCTGCTTAAGATATTTGATGCAGTCCGAAAACTTAGGCCTAGCGAGTGGGTCCTGATCCCAGCACAGTTTCATCATGTCAACATAGAGAGTATGTCCTACAGTGTCCTTGGTGATACGTGGGCGGAAGGATGGGATCTCTCCTTTTTTAACACGCTCAACAACAGCTTAAGAAATGTTAAATCAAAGTTATACATAAGTGGAATTTTAAATCATAAAAATAAAAACTTCAACTTTACTTGAAGGTATCCTTAGCTATGCTTGTGTAAGTGGTAGCTTTATGTACCATTGTTCACTTTGAGTGGTGGATGAGTGAATATGAGCAGATGAGCAATAAAATAGTGGAATTTTTAGGTTCCCCCGCAAAGTGTACCCATTTATCTAATATCCTTCCTGCATGTGAAAGCTTCAGATTAGCAGCAAAGTATGCAAGGCTAAACCAACATTTTGGTTTGTTTTAAAGCACTAATTCTCTTACAAATCAGTACTGTCAATACTTGATTCTTTTCAAATGGTATCAAACAAATTCCCAATTATTGCAGAACTAGTAGGTTTCCGTTTCTGATAATTGTAGGTCATTGAAGCAACACTCAATCCTCCTAGAAGTGCTTCCAATCATTAATTTTTATCTTTCTGGGTCTAACTGATAAAAAATGTTTGTGACCCTGTTTTTATTGGGGAAACTAAATCAAAATAGCTAGACTTACATTCATGTAATGTAGTTTCAGAGCTACCTTAAAAAAATTGGCACAGAATACATACCCTGAGCTGACAAGTCCTCATACATGCTGAAGGGTAAACCACGAGTTACAATTTCAGAAAGGATGATTCCATAGCTGTACACATCTCCAGGTTGAGAATGAGGATACTGGTCATTGAGGATGTGTTCTGGTGCTTTCCAAAGATTGTCTTAAATTAGAAAGGAATCAGAAAATTATTGGACTGAACCAAACTCCTTTTCCCATCAAAAATGTATTTACCATAATACTTGGAATCTTCACCAGCTTCCACATCAATCTCCTGTCCTTCTTTGAAGAGAAACAACCCATGGTCGGTTAGTTTGCATGTCCAGCGGCTGTCAATCAACACATTTGATGACTTTAAGTTGCCATGTATCTGAACTGGACTATTCTGCAGGAAGTGCATGCCCTGTTGAACAATAAATTGATGGAAAATATCTTTTGATGAATGAGACTATGAATTCAGCTCATGCTATGGGATTTGATTAAAATGCAGCTTATTTGAGAGACAGGAAATGTTTATTTTCCTAGAAAACCAGGCAAATCTCAACTAAGTTACACTGGATAAAAATTATTTTCACTACTAACTAATTATTCAACTAACATACTAAGGGTGTTGAATTGTTCATTTTAAAGCAGTTATTAAATAGGGAGGAAAGTGACCAAAAGTGCTCAGTAAAAATATTGTGTGCCTTTTGGTAAGAAGTCACAAGGAATTTATTTCAAATTGTGTAGCTAGAATATGAAGATGGTAAGGTTGATAGAGCATCAAACTGACTGCAGTACCAAAAACTGTACGCACCTTTGCAATGTCCGATGAAATGGACATCTGAAACATCCAATCCAACTTCAAGCTGTCATTATGCAACACATCCTGAAAAAAAATTCAGTTATGAAAAGAGTGCACTTTTTTTGGTCTGAAAAAATAAGACCTCAAGACCCAGTTAAGTGCGAGATATGCTGATAATTTGTCATTTCAAATCAGTTCTTATTTTACCTGGAGACTTCCTTTGTTGCAGTACTGGGTTAAGATGCAGATGTTTCCAGGATCAATACAGGCACCAATGAATGTGTTAACATTTTGATGGTTGATATCTTTCATCTGAGTAAACAAAGACCTTTTCGATAGAAGTCTTATAGCAATTGCAAATTTACAAAATAAATAAACATTTTTAACCTCATTTTGATGGCTTTCTACTGTTCAGATACATCTGATACATTCATCTGACTCAGACTTTTGGAGCTTTTTTTGTTCTAAAAATATTATAATAATGTAGAAGCGGGGAAAGTTATCAAAAAGAGGGAAGCAAAGACTTCAATTTTCTGTTTTACCTCTTTCAGTTCCAACAGCACTTCACGTTCCAGAGCAACTTTGGCCTTCTGTAATCTTTTGACAGCCACTAAATTCCCCTGCCAAGAATCAGAGTCCATAATTGACAAGGGTTACAATTGTTGGGAAAAGCTGAACTATGTAATTAAATTAATTAATTAATTATAAGTAATTAAATTAATTGAATACATTTATATAGTGCCATCTTCAGCTTAAAAAGATAAGTCTTAAAATTAGCCTTAAAAGCTGCCTCTGATGACGAAAGCCTGATCTGGAGTGATAGTTTATTCCAGAGCCTTGGTGCCACCACGGAAAAAGCCCTTTCACCATATGTTTTAAGATTCACTCTAGGCTCATCAAGCAACCTGTTGTTTGAAGATCTAAGTGTGCGATGAGAGTCATTATACTTCAATAGGTCTTTAATGTAATCTGGGGCCAGTCCATTCAGAGCTTTGTAAGTCAGCAACATTATTTTTAAAACTATCCTATAATGAACTGGCAGCCAATGTAAGCTCCTTAGTATTGGTGTGATATGTTCCTGCCTTCTAGTCAAGGTAACAAGGTGAGCTGCCAAGTTCTGTAAAAGCTGAAGTCTATTAATCAGATACTTCGGGAGACCATACAGTAGGGCATTACAATAGTCCCAATGTGATGTTATGTAAGCATGAACAATAGCCACAGTAGTACTCTGGGATAGGTATCACCTAATTTTAGTGATACTGTGAATGTGGAAAAATGCACTCTTGCATATTACTTTCACAGGTTCTTCAAAATCTAAATATTGATCGAATCCAACTCCTAAGTTCCTGGCCTGTTTACTAGATTTGATTACTTCTTTGCATATAGTCGAGGGGTGGTCGTGGATGATAATTAGAAATAATAACCAAAAGTTCCGTCTTATCCTGATTTAACTTGAGTTTGTTGCACAACATCCAGCATCCAGTCACCAATGTCCTTAACAGATAGCTCTACTGCCATATGTATGTTGTAGAGTAAAGACAAGGTTTTACTATGAAAGACTTTAAGTTTTAATACCTTGATTCCTAAATATACAACAAGTACAAGAGTGATATACAAAAATGAATAAAAAAACTGCATTAACTGATAAACCCCAAAGGCCTTCACAAAATCAGTTATTTAATCTAAAATTATGCAGATTCCAAGTTTGCAGCATTTCACTAAGAGAGCTTTTTGTACAAGGTATTTAAATTGCACCAAGTATTTTAGTTACAGTATACAACCATGAATTTCACATAAATAAATATTTCCTCAAAGATCAATTTCATGTTTGTTAAAATGACAATCCTAAGATGAGAAATCTGACGAGTAAACAAATAAATTAGCATTTGTCCCTGATGAGAAATAAAGAGTTAAAGAGAACCTCATAAATTCCAAGAACAGTGAATATTTGTCCTCGAAGGTCCTCTATAGAGCCACGCTCACTTGCTGCTGCCATACTTTGCTGCAGAGAAGAGTTAAGAAGAGTAATTTATTAGTCTAAAATAAGTATTGATGCTTAGATCTATGATTGGGCAATTTTGTAACACAGTCCAAGTTTTCCATGTTCTCTCTGTTCATTAAGATGTTTTCATTATACAAGAATGGTTGGAGAATAAAGTTGAAAGAGTTAGTCTTAGATGACTAGAAAATAATACAAATTTAAATGGAAGTGACACAGAGCATCAGTCATATCAACACTAACATACCCCACTCTTTCTACTCCCTAGCTTTCCTTTATTCTTTGGCCATTTTATGTCATCATATTTCACTTTCCATGTTTGAGCCAACAGTGATGCTTCAAAAGCTTGTTTCCTATTAAACACCAACAAAGATGAAGGTGAAAAAACAAAAGAGACTTCAGAGACTGTTGTTAATATTTTGGTGGGTTTAAGTCTTTTTCTATACCATTTCTCATCCAGGACAGTGAAGTTCAAGAGATTACTAATTATTTTCTAAACACTTACAAGCTTACCTCTGCCACAATAAAAACCCAACCAGAATTGAAACAACTAAAACAAAGGTAAGACATCCTGCCAAGATGTATGGCCAAGTAGGATCCTCCTCTAGAAAACAAAAGTTATGACAGTTACGATTGAAATCAATGATGAACTTAAAGGTGTGATTATGTTAGAGATGTTAACTTCACTTTTAGGTGCACTGTTATTATAACCTTCTGGGCTCAGTTTTTTCAAAGGCCGATTAGTGCTAACCCAGGGTTAAATTTTAATCCAAGTTTCTTTATTTCTTTGTTCAAAAGCCTTTAAGGGAAAATTTTCCTAATTCTTTTAAGAACATACAATGATCAAATTACAAGAAAAAAGATGTGAACTGAATTTTCTTTTCAAGCTTTCAGACCTGAAATCTAATTTTGCACTTAACCCAGTTTTGAACAACTTGGGCCTAGTCTTTTGACATTATACTTGCCCAACAATCCATATTTTTGACCTGGTTATCTGCATGCTGGAATTAACATACACTTTCTTCTGTTTACTGTTTTCAATGTGTACAGGGAACTCAAACCTTGTTCAACTAGACACTATAAATTTCTTCTTTACCTTTTGTGGCCTCTTCGCAAAATTCATTGTCAAAACCACATGCTGGTCTTCCAAGAGGAATCTCTGTGGCACCACCAGGCCACAGGATAGTTTGATTCAAAAGCTGAAGTTCTCCAGTTGTGCCAAAGAAATTTGCAACTCTTACACTTGACATGCCAGGTAGAAATGATTGCAGCCTATAAGAGGCAACTCTGTCTCCCTTTTCATCAATACCAACAGGACCTGATACGCCTATTAGCATTGGAGAATAAAGAATTCACCTCAGCTCTTACATACGAGTATTCACATACTGTGAGCTGTATAGCTGTTTCTTTCTTTGGGGCTCAGTGACACAGTTTGCTAGAAAATTAATGTTGTTGTAGTTGTAGAATACTGACACAAAGGAGGTTTATGTGTACTTAATAAAATAATGCAGATGACAATATTGCTTGAGAGGGATATTTTTAATTCATGTTAATAGCTGAAACTGCTGGTGTATCCAAATGGATCCATCTTATCAAGAATTTTGTTTAAAAGCATGCTTACCTAGGAATTGCTTTCCTATCATTGACTTTGACACATTTGCCCCTTCAGTTATGGCCACACCTTGGGTCAAAGATTCATTTAGGGCATATGCATACAAAAGAATGGCATCATGAAGGTATGCAGCATAGATGTTAGTCTAGCAGAAAAAATCAATAATACAATTAAGTCATTTGATGATCAGTAGGCTGATAACAAAGTGTTGGGATTGATAGGGGTCTAAGGAAGACTTATTCATGATATCACTTAGTGCATTGATGAGTTTTGCCCTCTTTCATTTGTTTCATTTCATGAATCACAGTACAGGATTTCAGGTTCAAGGGTAAATGTGCCTTGCCTTAATACATTTCAGGCATGTAAGAAGTGTTCTTACTTCGTTAGGTGCATTCATTGAGTAGTTCATTTCAGGCATCCTGTTGTAAACAGCTGTTGTAAAATCTGTATAATCCTGTGAATCTGGAATATACTGACTAACATCAATGATTCCTTCGAAAGCTTTGCAAGCCTCATCATCTCTGGCATCACCAGCTTGGCATGAATCATAAAGTGTCTCCAAGGCAACTATCACATATTTCCCATTCAACAGGCCCAGCTCATTGAAGATAAGCATTAGACTTCTCATAGCATTACCATAGCAAAGTAACATGAAAACTGTAAAGTAAAGATAAGTTGGTCACTATACAACTCATTTCATCATGATCTTTAATTTGATATTAATTATTAAGCTTACAGCAGTTAGCAATTGTAATAAAGAACACAAAAGATTATTTTGCATCAATATTGTCTGTATGCATGTTCTCTGTCAAGTTTGTTCTTGTTACTTACCATGTGCCTTGGTTGCCATTGACCTGACCATGGATTTAAGTTTGAAGAGGTCAGTTGCTCCAGGAGCAAAGCTACCAAAAAAGGGTACTGAATATTTGCCATCTCTCTCAAGGGTGACCTTTGCTGTATTAGCAGCCTCCGAAAAAACTGTTTCTGTTGAAGACATGAAGCCTATGCGATCCCATTTGTAGTTTTCTAAGAAGGCCCTTAAGAGATCTCCCAAACCAGTGTATGTGCCAGCCGTCCGTACAAAGTAAGGATACTGTGTTTTGTCTGATAGTACTGAAGCTGTGCATCCCCAAGATATCATGGGAATATTCCAGTGAGCTGCTATGTAGGCACCAGGGACACATGCAACTGAACATCCAGGGCCAATGTAGACATCAACTTTGGGGTTTTCTATTGTGTAGTAGTCCACCAGTGTTGCAAGAGATGTGCTTGCTTCACATTTGCTGTCTTTAAGTACAAAGGTCAGGTTATGTCCTTGTAGCCAGTAAGGGTCACTGTTTACTTTGTCCCTAGCAATCAGAATTGCTGATGCCATCTTGGGACCACCAGGCCAACTACCAGTGAAAGGAAGAAAGATCCCCATTTTGATATCCCTTGCATAAGAGAGAGAAACTAAACAAAGAATAGATCCAAGCACAAGAAAAGGATTCATTGTTGTTTCCTCTGATCATATGTTTCTGAAAAATGAAAGAAATCCATGAATAAATAGGGAGCTCCCTTTGGCTTATTATTAATGCAGAGGACGTTATACCACCTAGATTTTTCTCAAAGAGCTCTTCAAAACCTGACTTCAAAACAACTGATGTTTATTTTTCTTTGTTTTTAGACAGGTTTTTTTTTTAAAGCTGTCTTACTTTTCCAAACACAACAAATCAAACACATGGCTATCTGACCTAATTTAGCACAGGATGAATAACCTATAATTACTTTTTAAAAAAGGATATATCAACAGCTTTTATATTTTAAGCTTGACTGACAAATAAAAATGTAGCACCCACGCAGATGATTTCTGTTATTGAACCTTTTTTCACATTTTATCAGCCGTTTAGGATGAAAATTTTCACTGGTTGGAATCAGTTTTTGGCATTTTTGCAAATGGGGCTTGTCTTGCAACAAAAATGAGAAGGTCGTTCATTTTGAATAAAAAGAGCACCTTGTTAAGATAAAGTCGAATATCAATTTCATCTTAGTATTGACTTCAGTTTCTGTACATTTGTTTTTTTGCTTCACCGGCAAATGTAAGAAACAATGAGAAAACTCTGTTAAATCGAGCAATATTTAATTTTAGAGGAATTTATGAAGAGGACTTAGGCAGAAAAATGGCGAATATTCTTGCTCTAAGGAGTTTTCGCAAGGTCTTTTTTCGTACTTTGCCACTGTGGTGAAAACTGCCGTCCATATTCGCCATGTGGCTGCTGTTAACGATGTAATATTTTTGGGGCGCATTGGAAGTCTTTGGTCCAATTGTTTCTCCAAATGCTTGCATTTATTACGATCAAGTAAGTTAACGAGTTATGTCCCCTCATACTTATTCATCTCGTTAGTTACCTCAGATCACTTTTTCTTGAAGTAAGACAAGCCTTGTAGAAGACCCTTAAATTTTTAAAGAACTTCGATCGAACTCCTGAAATCCCAACCTGTCACAACAGAAAAGAACATTTGTCAACTGCCTACTTAAAAAATTATCCTTACCATACTTTAAAACCCATTCATGATATAACCATTAGACATAAATTTCAGCTGGTTTTGGAGCAATAGTACGATGTACTTTCAGCTATGCCATTTGATCTAAAACTCAAATTTTTCTCTATGAATTCGAGTTACTCACGTTGTGATATTCCTAGTAAAACTTTTTTTACAGTCCTGTCAAATCGTAACTTTTTCCGAGTGTAAAACCCCTTTTAAGCTAATCACGAAAAACAACGAAATTATTATAGCACAATCGCAAAGGTTTTCAATGTAGAGAATAATTTTTCAACCCAGGAGGCGTTGACACCAAAATGTGAGGGCGCTGCGAAACACAAGGCGAAATCTGATTGGTCGGTACATCAGATGACGCATTCTGATTGGTGTGTTCAAATGAGCCTTTTAATGTATTCCCGCCATTTTGTCACGACGTACCATGCAGAGTGTGCGCACTGCATTAAGGAAAATTTTGAAAAGAGCGGACGATGAATGTAAAGGATAAAGCGGAAAAATTAAAAATGTTTCCTACTTTGAGATGGATTGTATTAATTCCTGTCTATGTTTTATGTTGAAAGCAGTATCGAAATGTTTAACTACCTTCGGTGAATTGCACGATGCTAGGCAGCTTTTTGATGCAGGAAATGTTGAACCGAGTAGAAGGGTTGGGAGCTGGGCGGAGGTGGGGCGCCCGGGGCGGGGGGCAGGCAGAGGAGAAATTTGTCATAGATTAGGCCTCTAAAAGAGGCTTTCACTTCTAATTCCTGCCTTTAAAAAAAAAGAAAAAGGATTTATGTCTGCAATTTCCTGATTCCTGCATAGATGTGACATGAAGCCAAAAACTGTCTTGTTTTGTTTTTCCGGGAAAGTAAATTGGTGACAGGGTAAGGCACCTTCTCCACGAACAAGGTATAATTAGTTACAAGAATTTGGTATTAGATCAACAACAACTTTTATCTGATAAGTTTGTCAATGAGTATTCTCATTACCTGTTTGTTGGATAATGTATGGATATTATAGGGAGAAGTTAAATGTTCATCAATTCTGGAGTTAAAGAGTTAACTACACATAATGTATACTTTACAGAATGCAGTCAAGATAATGGCTAAAGATCTTCTGAGAACCAATAGATATGTCGAGAAATTTATGATGATGCGTACAAATGTCCAGGCGGTTTCACTCAAAATCCAGGTAGGTTGAGCACTGTTAAAGGGGGCCTCTATCAGTTTGAATGCTTAACCCATTACACTCTAAAATCAGTATGCTTCTTATTTTGTATAACACTTTTAAATGAAAACACTGAGACCAAGATAAAATTACAGTGAATGGACAGATGAGCCCGCGACGAGCCTGAAAAGATTTTAAAAAAACAAGTCTTTCAAACAAATGTTCATATTGCCAATAAAATGACTCTACGGAAGGTAAGGGAAGAAAAAGAGTTTCATTGCTTGCATCTACTTAAAAGAGTGCTCTTCCATGCCAGCCGCCATGGAGAGATCCGGAAGAGGTTTGTAAAATCCTTCTCTTGTTTTTAAGAAATACGTAAGGATGCTCCCCTTGCCCTGAAAGTTAAATGAAAAGCTTGATTACAATTTACCGTCATTCTGGACGAAGCACGTTGAGTTGAGATTTTAGAATATCGTAAGCATCGAATTTACAACTTATATTTGCTGCTTCAGAGTGCTAATAAGACTACTCGCTAACTTATAGCAGGTCGTCGTCTGAGGCAGTTACAGATGTTTCTACGAACATTTGAACACAAACTTCAATATGCATTCGATCCTAATTGCTTCATGCCAAGGATATTCTGATAAGCTCTCGCAGTAACAAAGCACTTGCTCTAAAAGATTTGATCATGTAAAATAGATAAACGCTCGCTTACCTTCATTTCAACGAAACCTCTTTCTTGCAGCACGTATCCGCCAAGTCTATCAAGAACTTCTTTGCATTCTGGACTCACGTGAATTCGAAGAGCTGAAAAAATTGTAGAGCTCTGGTAAGTGAGGGAGTCAAAGCCGGAAAGGCGGACTGAAAATGAATTGCCCACAATTTTTGAGAAAGGGGGGACCAAAATGCAGAAATGTTGAAAGCTTCTCCACATGTAAATGAAATTTGAGTTAAATTTTTTATGTGACAAAGGGAGGGAGCATGGAGTGTAAGTACCGACGAAAGAGTAAGATCGGCATCCAAGATGATTTGTATTTGAGACCCTGGAACACCGCGTGTTCCAAGGTCTCAAGATATATTGTTATTTTTTCCAATTTCTGATGATAAAAAATGTCTTCGGTTCCAAGGAATCATGTTTCTTAGCTCAACGCTTGTTAGTTAGACAAGTGGGATCTTTCATACCCAAACAACCTAGGCCCTTTATAGAACCCTCTTCATTATAGGGAATAACACTGAAGCCAATTTAAGATTGAAATCAGCGCGAAAAACGGAATTTCCTACAATTCTCCCTGACGTGTAAGGCATGCTGAGAGGCTCTTCCTTACCCAAACCGGAAGACTCCATTCTTGACGCATAGTTGACCGTGTCACCAAACAGGCAATATCGCGGCATTTTGAGACCAACAACCCCGGCAACCACGGGACCTGAAAGGAGGCATTGTTTAAGTCAGAAACACACACAATTTTCCCATACCGACTCTTTCATTTTTCTTTTGTTAACTTTTCCAGGGTTCTATAAGGGCGACGCTGAAGTGGTGATAACTCCCTTGTTATGGTGATAATTATTTTACAACTTGGCGTGCCCCCTAATGTCAGCAAGATGCTAATTATATGCATAGAACTGATCCCCATAACTGAAGATCCCGCTAAACCCTTGTGCAAGTCAGTTTATGAACTCATGACCTAGAATGTAGCTAAGTTAGCTTAAGAAAGGTTTCTAACCTGTATGAATCCCAATTCTGAGTTGCAGTTGCCTTCCTGGAACATGCCTTATCTTAAAAGCAGTCATTGCTGACAGCAAATCTAAGGACAGGTTACTGATCTCGCCAGCATGTCTGATTCCATTCCTGTTTGGTAGCCCGGAAGCGACCACGTAGGCATCACCAATGGTCTCAACCTGAATTATAAGCAATGGATGTATAAACGTGTTCTCCTGTCAAGGCATTCTATTAAAGTGACTCAACTACCACTGAGTTTTACCTTGTTTACGCTGGAGAAGACATCTTAGTGTTCAGTCATGTAACATGTCTTACCTTGTAGACATCATGCATGTCAATGATTTCGTCAAAGCAAGTGTACAGGTCGTTAAGCAAGTCAACAATCTATAAACGGATACACAGAAGAAAGTATTTTCTAACAAATCGATATTACGAGATCGACTTACGACATGTATATTCGGGAGTACATGTACCTGAAGGGGTGTGCTCTCAGATGCCAGCTTGGTGAAACCAACGATATCACTGAAAAAAAGTGTAGCGGACTCAAAGGTTTCGGCAGTAACAGGGTGCCCTCTCTTAAGTTCCTCTGCCACAGACCTGTAATCAGACAAAACCAAACAGACAGATAAATGGCATGAGAGTGAATACAAAAGATGTCATCGTACATATACCATCAAATATCGCAAATATCAGCGACCGTGGGCACGGGTTATAAGAATGGGTCAGGGATTACACAAAATGGCGGCGTATTTGGATTTGAAGAAATGTGCTCTTCGGAAGTGGCTGTCATTTTCCACAGAGAAAGTCAAGAATATAACAATCAAATTATGGAAAAGATAAAAAGTTAGATTTATGAACAGCCTGAAATCCTACCAAATAAAGCCCTCATCACCTCTTGAAAAACATAGCTGGATTTGCACACGCCATGCGTTTACCTGACACCAATTATATCAAGGTACCGTGAATATTAACAGTTGCAGGGTAGGGCAGCAGGCTTATTCCTTATTCTTATATGAATTGCATTGAAAAAGTATTTAATTCTAAGCAGTTTTAAGTGCAATTTACTTTGGAAGCATCCTGTACAA